TTGAAAGCTGTAAGTGGTACCAAAATGGAGCTATTATAATATACTTATAGAAAATGCAATAATTATGCAAACTTCCCCATTTGCATAATATGTGACAAGCTCTATCTAATATCTCTCCCTCTGGGTTAAAGTCTTGGTTATTCATGAGCATTTATGATTTTGAATATATAGGTACATTAATTTTGAACATATTTGCAATTGAAATTTTGGAAAAACTATAAGAAATTAAGTGTTGACACTTCACACGATTATGTAACTGAAAAAGGGGGGGCACTTCTTGTTCAAAATGTTAACTTCTAAACACTAATGTCAACTTCAAAGGCTGAAGCTGCTCTAGCAGAGTCATGTAGATAGAGCTCAATGTTGCTTATTGGTGAAATGTTGGCCAAATTTTGCAGCTTGTGTGCACCGCTTATGAGTACATGATGTGTTCATTATGATAGTGTAATTCCAATATGACAGCACAATACAAGTCAGGCTATTTTATTGTCACATATGCAAAAGTCGATCTGATGAGACATGTTAGAAGTGGTAGTGGTTAATTATGCCCAGATCAAAGAAACGCAAGATAGATATTGAAGATAGGCCCAGATCAAAGTATGGTCATCCTCAGCCTCAACCATGATGCCATCTTTATTGTCCATCAGTGGGAGCTGTAACCCAAATACTGAGTATATGATTTAATGTACGTGTCATTCAGTTGCCATGCAGTTGGCAGTTTCTTCCTTGCCCCAAAGTCTGAGGTTTGATGGAGTTGAGACCAGGTCAAGGAAAGCTCTTAATAGGAAATTGAACTCCCCTCAGTCCATGGACCAAAGGTCATTCCATTTCAAGAATTGCTGAAGTGAGGGTTTCCAGGTAATGTCGTAAATCTGGAAAGGCCACTGAAATTGGGGAGTAATGTCATAACACCCCGATATATGACTTGAGTCAATGGCTTTAAGCCACTTGTCCAGGTCCCTTGATACTTCAGCTGTATTGTTCAAACCACGCAAGGTTTTGTCATAGTTCTTCTCTAGACATTTGATTCTTTTATCATGCACTGTTGGTATTTGCTTGCCCTTTATTTTGAACTGCATTGGAGAAAGCTTGCCATCAACCAAAACCATGCTTCTTGACCTGGTTGGCTTTTAACTTCATGCAAGTCCAGTTTGCCATTCTTTCCATAGCTAATAGAACCCATCTGGTACTCACTACTGAACGGGTCATAACTGTGATGTCATCCATGAAATCTCTGTATGGTAGGTGTTTTGCACCTTCATTTGCTTGTGGAACCTTACACTGCATCATCCCTGCATTTAGCAGTAAGTTCATGGATGTTACGAAGAGAACTACTGATACAGTGCAGTCTGCCACTATGCCTTTCTCCGAACTCTGCTAATTAGTGGTATAATTGCAAAATGTATTGTGCAACTTCAAGGAGTTTGTGTTTCCCATTGTCAGATTGACTACATCTGTTGGTTTTGGTACGTGAAAGTGAACTTGTACCTCTAGTATCAGTTGGTGAGGGACACTAGGTAGGCCTTCTGTCCAGCCAAACTACTGATTCCCTTTCTTGGCTTCCTTCACAAGTTGGCTTATGCTGCTATATGTACCCCATGATGTCTTGGGAGACCACTTTTCTGAATGCTTGGCAGGCCACTAGGAAACAACTTCGAGGCTTGACCATAATGACCCGGAAGATCTTTCCCTCAGCATCGAATAATGATGTCTACCTGAACTGGTTCAGTCGCTCAAATTTTAGCTCCTTTGGAATGAAGCACCTTTCACCTAAGTCCAAGTCCTTGCTAGATTTTTTTGTTCTGGATGCTTGTTAGCAATCGCCATAGATGTATTAACAGCTTTCCCCAGTTCTTGTAGACCCTGTATGTCACACCTTTTAGACCTGAGGCTGAGCCTTCCTGATGATTGTTCTTACCTCATCAAGCTTGAAATCTGACTGGTCAAACGGTTTTGACGATAAATCTGGTGGGATATCAATTGGAAAATTACCCAATGGCATCTCTCGATCTGGGTCACTGTGTGCTGCCAAAGTATTTGCTTCTGCTTGATCCTGCGTACATGCTGCGCTCTTTGGTTCCCTAACAAGTTTGATGTGAGCCTATAGAGATTTTCAAAGAATGTCTTCCTGGTCCTATGCTTCTCTTTTCCTGAGTGTTTCTATCTTTGGAAGAAGAATCTTTGGATGACTAAGATGAAGAAATCTCTTAAGAAGCATCTGTTGGAGCTCTCTTGCCAGTGATGAAGCCGTCCACTAACACTGCCGGCTTCATCTCTCCTTCCCAAGAGAAGATTTTGTCTTCTACTTGGCCCAACACAATGGTGTTTCACAGATGTTTCCTCCACTCCTTGTCCTCGCATCTGGGATGGAAATCGTTCTAACTTGGATAAGAGGTAGCATAGTGAAGAGGCTGGGCTCTGCATCCCACTTCTATTGGTTGCATAACTGCATACCACCCTCTTGTCATCAAATAGGTTTTGGATTTTTAAGCTGATGAGATATTTTAGTTGGTCTTCTGAAGGTACCGTGAGCTCATTGAAGATGATGGTCCTACTGTGTTTTGACATCAGCACTGAGTTTTTGGAAGAGGTCAGTTGAGAGTCCAGTCGGATGTCTTGGATAAAACATTGGACTGAGGTACAGGCTTAATGCATATTGAGTTAATAATTATATAGCTTTAACAACTAAATACTGTGGGTACCCTTTTCAGTTCATTGCCTATCCTAAAATGATATGGGGATATGTGGTCATTCGTATCTGTACAGTACTTAGTTCAAAAGCGATACAGCTTATATATCTTTGGCTGAAATTTAAATGTCTGCCAAACAGACCAACAAGAATTTCTGAACAAGCTAGGAATAAGGGACATCACTGGGCTACTTTCTAAAAGTCAAAAGCTATATTTTACACCCAGGGGGTTCACTATATATAAACCTTGATGGGGGGTACCTCTTTTAACATTTGGTATGGCAATGGATCCAAATTTTAGGATCTGGAATGAGAATGCCCCCAAAATATGACTTTTGAGATATGACAATGGTCGGATTTTTCTACTTTGTGGTACAAGAATGGTCATGGAGAATAGGTTACCTCTCACTTGTGGTATGGGATTGGTCTAGTTTTTACAAATGTCCTTAATTCGAGGTTATTTTGGATCATAGGTTACCTCTCACTTGTGGTATGGGATTGGTCTAGTTTTTACAAATGTCCTTAATTCGAGGTTGTTTTGGATCATTTTTCTAAAAGTTCTGCCTTCTTCCAGGGGCTTTAGACATTTTGCATTCCCTTGGTCTTATATTTTTGGGATATTTGGAATGGCATTAGTCCTATATTTGGACATTTGATATAGCATTGGTCTTATATTTGGATATTTGGTATGGCTTTCGGGCATTATTTTGGTTGGTATGGGAACACATTGAAATTTGAGATTGGTATGGGAACATAATGATATCTGAGGGCTCAGCCTAGGACCCCTACAAAATTGTGTATTCAGTGAACCCCTGGGTATTTTACAAATGATACATTGACTATATAATAACATTACAGATTTTCAACAAGTGCCACGCCCCTTTTCAGAACAATAATCATTTGAAAGGTCATACCTTAATTTCTGACAATGTTTTTCTAAAACTTTCAATGCAAATATGTTCAAACTTTCAATTGCAAATATGTTTAAAATGAATGTATATATTTAATATATGGTAATGTATAGATGGTCACTCAGAGGAAAAGGCAATATGCATTACGTTGAAAAAGGGCAAAAATAATGATTGATGATGTCATATTTTATGCAAATATGGTAATTAACATAATTATTGTATCTTATAATAAAGGATATTGTGATAGCTTCAGTTTGGTACCACTAACAGCTTTCAACTCTCAAAACTGTGGATGTTATTGTACTTTGAAATGATTAACATCAATTCTTTCGCAAGAAGTGCCACGCCCCTTTTCAGTTACATAATCATGTGTCTGACAATGTTTTCCAAAACTTTCAATTGCAAATATGTTCAAAATTAATGTACCTATATATTTAAATTCATTTATGTTCATGAATGACTAACATTGATCACTCAGGCGGAAAGGTATAATGCGATACCATTGTAAAGAGGCAAGAATTATGATTGATGATGTCATATTTTATGCAAATGAGGCAATTTGCATAATTATTGTATCTGATAATATAGGATACTATAAAAGCTTCATTTTGGTACCACTTACGGCTTTCAATTCTCAAAACTGTGGAAGTTATTGTACTTTGAGATAATTAACACCAACTCTTTCAAAAATTCAAGATGGCCGACAAGATGGCCGCCAATGGATACCATGGGACAATATTTCATTCTGGGAACATGCAAAAATCTTTAGTATGGACCTTTAGGATTACAAAAATGTACATTAAAAAAATACATCTTTCGGGTGCATGGGGACCATACCTTCCTACTAGACTATTGTGGCTGCTAGTGCAGTTCCATTGCCATCTGAAGATGAGCCGACCAAATATGAAATGATAATGGTAAGAACTTCAACAATAATTGTAGGGGTTTCACTAGAATTTCTCACAACAGGCTAAATATATGAAAACAACAGGCAAAATTGATGGAAACCATAAATGTACATGGAAAAGTTAAAGTCCCTAAAAAACGACAGCCAATTTTGTGAAAACTGGTGAAAATCGCCTGTTGCCTGCTGCTAATGAAACCCCTGATTTTACCATCCATAACAAACTTTGACAAGTTTTATATTTTTACCAGGACGTGTTAAATTAGGATGAGTACCCTGTTGGAACAAAATCTGAGAGGATAATTCAACTTACAGTACCATAATAGTTTCATATAACATAGAAAAGATTTCAGCAATCTAATATTTCTGAAATTTTACTTGATTAAGAAAAAGAACAGAGAAGAATTAATACCAAGCTTTGACAAGATATATATTTTGGCTAGAACAAGGAAAATCAAAATCAAAATGGAAGAAAAAACTTAAATTCCCATATGTTATGATACTTCAGAAACAGGCCGATGAAGTGAGTGAGGGAGAATTTGATATTGATATGGCGTTTGAAATCATTGAGTTGGTAATGCAGATCCTTGAAGACATGGACTCTGAGGAGGCGAAAGCAAATGAAGCAGCACAGATTGAAGCTGCAGAAAAGGTTAGGAAAACTCCATTTGAATATCTGGTATCAACTTCTTCTGTTAAACCTTTTCCTACCCTGCGCGCAGAGTCTAGTTAAACTACACTCTGCCTAGTAGAGACCATATTGCAGTTTAGTAGCTCCGCCTCCACGACGGGTACCGGTGACAGTTTGGGTAATGAATCACTTCTGACCTCCGCGCTGACCTTTCTTCCATCAATCATTGAGCTTGAAGAAACATACGCCAAATGCTTGCTAATTAAATATGCGCATGTCATTGGTCAATTCCGGGCTCAACGATGACGTCAGAAGGAATGACCATATATAGAACGTCGGTCAAATTTGGCCGACGAACACTGATTGGCGCGGTGAGTTCACAGGTTTATTTTAGTTTGAAAGAGTGAAGACGAAGCTCTCTTTTAAGAAGTGAAGTCAAACGAATGCAAAGGGTAACCTTTTCCGTTACTGAATTTCAAATTGCTTGTCTATAATGCCTTCTTATTATCGATCATCTGAGGCTTGTTGATCTATCAAATCAAGCCCAGGGAAACACCTCAGTTTAGGTGAGGATATAGAGTTACTCATTTTCCCTTCTTATAAGTTTCTTTGCTTCCTTTATTTTGAAAACACAACCTCTACCATTAAGGAATTCAAGGCAAATTGCAAATCAAATGGTAAAAAAATATAATATAAAACTCAGTCAAACATAAAACCATTGTTTCTTATATTCAGGAGTTTGAGAAACTTCCCGTTGAGGAGCAGAACAAGCTCATTGCAGAGAAAGCACAACAAGACAAGGAGAATGCAGAATGGGAAAAGAGGAAGGACATTACATCTGTTGTTGTGGTAAGGCCATACGAAATACATTCTTTGTTTTGCGTCCCCTTGCTTGCACGATTTTGAGTAAATCAGAAAAAACAAACACATTCAAATAGCAATCACAAGGGTCTGAAAGTACCATAGCATTTCGTTCAATCAGAATCAGAGGAAATGGCGGATAATTTGATGTGTGTCAAAATTGACAGTATTATTGATGACTTTGGCATATATTGTTTATTTTCTTATTTTTTACCCTTGAATAATAGCTATATGTTTAAATGTATTGTATAAAATGTATAGATATATGTTTTTAATCACTACAAATTGGTATGTCATCCCTTTTTATGCCCTTGAAATGTATACATTTCTCAGCAAATAAGCTTGTGTTTTTTCCTGAGTTTGTGTTTGTTTTCCTTGTACCCTTGCATGATTTGGATTTTACCAGGACGCAAAACAAAGAATCTATTTCTTATGGCCTAAGTAGTACATTCCCCAAACGCATGGCTAAGGAATCATCTACTCAGTAAGGGATGGGGAAGTTGGATAATGTCTGAAGCCCTGTGTCTGGAGGATGGTAAAGTTTATTGTTACTTATTCAACATTCTGATACTCATAGCATCTTTCTGTTTCACCTGAAACATGCTCTGATATTATGAGGCATATTCTGTGATCTGAGCACATCAGATGGGAAGAGTTATAACTGTCAATAAGTGTGATCGTTATCATGTAATCATTTACCTAATGTCAATACATTACATAATAGGCATTGTATTTAACAGCAGATATTAGCACAGGTATGTGTACACAAGTTTAATGGCCCCAATTAAATGAAATATGAGCTGGGATGAAAGATCTCAAAAATCCTCAATTTTGGGCTCTCCTGGATCGCCAAATCAAGCTCATTATATCATGGCATCTCAGGGCTGAGAAGAAATGAGATGTCATGGTATATCATGATGCTTATTCAAAGACAAACATATTTCATAAGATAACATTGAGGACAAAACAAATTATGATGAACAACGATATCTGACATTCCTACTACAGTTTAGAACTCTAGAAAAACTACAAGGATACCAACAACGCTGCTGGTGACTGTGTCATTTATATATGACATGTGCATGTATCAATTAATGGCAATATACACAAAAATCAAAATATATTCAGCATGAGTAACTAATATTAAAATACTCTCATTTACAGAGGTCCATCACAACTGTTTTGGACCTTGTTGAGATAGCTGTACCAGAGGATGTGAGACAGAAAATTGCCGAACCATTTGAGTTCACAAAGTTCTTGTTAAACTTCATACTTATTGAAGACGGAGAGAAGTATGAAGCAGTCGCTGCCTATAAGGTTTTTCATCATACTTCCTAATTGTGATAGCTTTCCTTTTTCTTTTAACTATCTATAACAATCTTTGACAAGATATATATTTTGGACGGACCATGTAAAAAAGAACAGTTTCATAAGAATTTTTTTTTAAAAATAAACATATGTTATGAAACTTCAGAAGCAGGCCGATGAAGTGAGTGAGGGAGAATTTGATATTGATATGGCGTTTGAACTCATTGAGTTGGTAATGCAGATCCTTGAAGACATGGATTCAGAGGAAGCGAAAGCAAATGAAGCAGCACAGATTGAAGCTGCAGAAAAGGTTAGTAAAAATCAATTTGAGTAGCTGGTTTCAACTAATTTTGTTAACCCTTTCCCTTTATTGAATAAAATACAGACTCATGCCTCTCTATTATCAGCCCAGGCTTGTTCATCCACAAATTCAACGCCTGAAGGAATCATTTCACTATCTAAATTCTAACTAAGTCTGCACTTTTTCCATTTTGAAACACAACTTCCATCAATTGAAACATGCAAGCTTAGCTTATTAAAGCCTGGTCACTTTAAAATTACTAGTTATTATAGAACACATATTGACCATTTGTGAGAAATAAAACTTGGTGCAAGTGACACATAACTCATAATGTTGTGTTATATTCAGGAGTTTGAGAAACTTCCTGTTGAGGAGCAGAACAAGCTAATTGCTGAGAAAGCACAACATGACAAGGAGAATGCAGAATGGAGAAAGAGGAAGGACATTACATCTGTTGTTGTGGTATGCAATATACATTCTCCAAATGAAGGGTTCGAGACATCATCCAATCTGTTACAGGGAAGATTGGATGATGTCTGGATCTCTGCATTTGGAGGAGGATTTAGTTATGTTCTTGTCATTGTTGTTTAATCAAAACCTGTGTCATATGAAACCATAAAGGGCAAAAGTAAAGTAAAAGGACTTGGAGATGAAATCAAAGGCCATGTGGTTTACTTAATATAACATCACAAAACTGTGATAATGCCTGTTACAAAATGTAGCACAATGAGGATATCTGAGAATGCCTTGGTGAAATAGCAAAGTACCTGATCAAAGCAAAAAAGGCCAAATCTTTGTTAAACGGACAACAATCTACAATGTCTGATATGCCCGTTATGTATCATTTGGACTTCATAAAACTTACATCATATATAACTAATATTTTGATATTTGTTCCATACAGAACTCCATTTCAACTGTTTTGGACATTGTTGAGATCTCTGTGCCTGAGGACGTGAGACAGAAGATTGCCGAACCATTTGAATTCACAAAGTTCTTGTTAAACTTCATTCTTATTGAAGAAGAAGAAGCAGCAGCTCTGATCAGTGCTTTCAAATCCCGAAAATAGAGAGGACACTGATTTTGATCGAGGAACTCAAAAATCAACTTTTCTGATTTTTCTGATTGTATTGCATGAAGTATAAATAAACAATACATGAAGCAATAAAATAAAGTATGCATAACTTGATTTCTGATATAGACACATTTCTAAGTTTTTACCAAAGGGGAAAAATGGGCAAAATTTTGAAAACAAGAATAGGAGAGGTTTATTGTTAGAAACTAAAGTTACAACATTCTAGTTGAAAGTCCTATTTTTGAAATATTTTCTCCTGGTACATTAGGCTAGGTGCCTTTTGTTCTATACCCCTAGTGAAACCCATGGATGCTGTACAATTTGTGGGAATGGTCAGAACCCTCTGGCAGTGAATTAAAACAACATGATTTTCATGGGACCCACTTTTTAAATAAAAATACTGATTTATGGGAGAAAATGACAAAACAAATTGATACTAGTGATGAAGTCCTTAAATGGGAAATTGATGTCATGATTGATGTTTGATGTCATGATTGATGTTTGATGTCATAGTTGATACCGCTGGTAGAGTCCATAAATGGGAAATTGATGTCATCGAGGAAAAGGCCGAATTTCCAACAAAAAAGGTTTAAACATTTCTTTATATCCTCTTCTTAATCTTAAAAATTGTACTTAATGGCCACATGTTGTTTGTTATGTCCAATGTTGCTTTTTGCTTCTTCATTTGTTCTATATTCAATGAATACTTGCCCATGTAAATAGAACAAGAACTCCATCAATACTAAGATCTAAATTTCAAGTACTATGGTTAAAGTCCCCGTCTAAAGTTTGAAAATATTTTTTTATCATTCATTTACTATTTGTCAGGATTTAAAAAGTGATTTTAGAGATTTTTGAACAAAAAAAAAAATTTGAAAAAAAAGTTGTGAGCATTTCTTTTCTCAAATATTCAAATTTCCCGCCATTTTTCAAAAAAAGTTGAAATTTCTTAATCATCAAATATTTCTTAATGCATTTCAAAAAAGATTATCTTTTTAACACCAATGCAAAGATTGAACAAAAGACACACTATTTCAATAATAAAATGTCATATTTAATGGGCCACTTCAATGTTTTAGCTTATCAAAAATATTTTGAAACATTAGTGATGTCACTAAGGTAACAAAAACTTTTTGAAAAAAATTAAATTTTTTTTTTTGATGTCAATCTTTTCTAAATATGCTAGACTTTCATAATAAACCAATGTTGATTGTCTAACCAGGTTAAAAGGAAGAATAAATTATGTTTTAGATATCATTGTACCATTTGTTTCTATGAGAACTAAAATTTTGAAATGCATTTTTCTCAGAACCATTTTCATGCACTGATAAGTTCATTTCTCGCTTGTTTATCAACCGATTTTCTTAATTTTTTCGGCAAAAAACATGGGAGGATGAATGCTATGCATTGGTATGAATTGTGGCTAATTTGAAGATATGAGTGTCCTCTAAAAGTTGGTTTTAAATAAATTCACAAATTTTGGAACAAAAAGTCTATCAAAAACCACTTTTTGAAATTTAAAAAAAAGTATCACATATCACACTTAGATAACATTGGGTAAGACTACAATATAAGCCAAAGTGGTTTAAACTTTACACGGGGCCTTTAAGAAATGACAAACACAAGACCCATATCAAAATTGGCATAAATGACCTATTGAGGAGATTTCCTTTATGAAAAATAACTTGAAACATTTTTTCAACAATTTGCAAAACTTCCACTTGAGGAACAGAAGAAACTCATTGCTAAGAATGAGGAGTTCAATAAAGATTACAGTAAAAAGCCAGAAGTGAAGAGAAAATACAATGAGGCGTTCAAGGTACATGTATAATACCTTGTATAAGAGCTCATATCAACTTTACCTCATAGTTCTTTCATGTATGAACAAACCTATATCAACATGCCCACCCACTCAGTCAAAAAAGTCCACTCAGTCAAAAAAGTAAATCTAAATGAGAAAATAGTTTTTTTTAATCTTAGTTGTGATTGTACCAAAAACTGATCCCTATATAAAACTAAAATCAACTATTTAGACTAATTCTTTAAATACTATTAAACCTATCAACAACAGCCATAAAAAGTAAACTATGTTGTAATAAACATGATATCTCACCCCTCAGGTCAGGCAATACATTGAAAGACATATTCTGAACAGTTCCAGAATGTAGTAATGTTACATCTTGCAATTCTAAGACTTGTGTCATCATGAAGTGTCATTCAACATCTTAGATTACCAGGGTATGAAGTTTTCATACCTGCAGGCCCGTAGCCAAGATTTGCCAAGGAGTTTCAGTTTTCAAAAATTTCCAAGCGGGTTCACATTTGACCAATATTTTGGCCCAAATATGGCTAAAATCACTTGAGAAGTGCTCAAAATGGTGAAAACTGCATCATTTTGAAAGAATTTTTGGCCAAGGGGGCTTTATCCAAACCCTATGAACCCCCTGACTACAGGCCTGTACCTGTGATTGAAAATCAAACTGGTAACCATGTATGATCATTCACATCACGCATTGGAAATCAAAGTTGTAAGTCAGTATGATGCTGTAATAATGATTTTAATTTAGTGGGTGATTGGAACAACTCTGCACCATGCTGTTCAAGCAGCACCAAATTATATGAAGAAAAAGATGTAGCAACCATTTCAGTTCACAAAGGAAATGTTGAACTTCATCCTATCTCAGGATATGAACATTTTAGACAAATTCTCATTACTATAATGATATCCCTAAAACTATTATACTGTATCGCTTGAAATTCTTAAATACATTTCATTTGAAACATAAATGTTTGGTTTGAGAAAGCAATCGCCATGTTTCTAAAAATATTTCTAAATTTTGGACTAAATCTTGAACTGAATTTCTATAGGATTTATCAATACCACAATAAAGTACACATTCCTAAATGTATTTCAGATTAGAAATAATGTATATAATGTATCCCAAAATAAATCCTAGTACGTACATATGTTGTATAATTGATTCATTATACTTGTGTTAAGTTGTCATATTTTGAACCATTTACTCAACAATAGGGCTCATAACAAAGCTTATTGGTATAAGACTTTCTTATCCACGATTATTTCAATGTTTGCTTAAGAATGAGTGGACAAATTGTAACACCCTAAATTTCCCGCACGATTCAGAATTTGAAGATTCAGAAAGAAATCCTTTTTTTAATTCTTCAAGTAATTAGGTCATTTGAAAGTGTGAAACTTACTTTTTTACAAGGGATATCCAATCATGTTGTAAACTTTTGGAAATCTTGCACAAGGGGAGATTATAATATTGGCACACAGGTGGATTATGGGTCAATACTTTAAGATTATTTAATAGTGGACTGAGGGAATTATACCAGCGAGGTTACATATAGCATATAACCCCAAGCTATATATACTACAGCTAATAGCTAACGCTTTCAGGCGGGATAAATAGTGCCAACATTTTGGGTATATGTTTGTGTGTTATAGTTGATCTTGGGTTAAACAAACTTTAGTTCTCAACAATGACATGGTGGTTTCTACATTGAACTTGATCAAGTCGAGAGTGGTGTGTTAGCCCGAGTCTTATGTTTAAACAATGACATGAATCGTGTTTGAGAATTTCCTGGCACCCAAACATGGAGAAACCATTGCAAAAGGTCTTAGTAAAAATTCAAACCCCACTTTGTTAAAAACTTTCATCTGAGCAATGTAGAATTATTTTGGGTGCATTTCAGATACAATATAGAAACTGAAATCAACAAAATTATTTTAACTTACAGTCTGCGTCATTTGTCTTGGTCACGATGACAACGAAGCTGATTTCTGGTTGTACTGTAATATCTAGTCTTTCGGTAGTCTTCAGCTTAATTGAACCCTTCTGATCATCAATTTGGAGGCTTGAGTTAACAGCATCTTTGATAGCGAATCGATGAGATAAATCTTGTTGGTCAATCTTGACAATGAAGAGGTCCATAGTTGTATCAACATCTTCGGGGAGTACAAATATCCTCGTGGTTGTATCAACTGCGCGTCTTTTCCTGGAATGTTGTGTGGTCTCAGGTTTGGTGTCATCATCGTCATCTGGGATGTCGTTGGTTTCTACGGCGAACGGTGATTTGTGTACAGTGATTTTGATACTGGTCGATGCAGAATGGAATCCATCGTTAGCGGTGAGAGTGAGATCATATATGGTGTTTGGTTGGTCATCGATTTGAGATGTGGTTGCAATTTGAACACAGTTATGGACATTTTTCACTTTCTGGGTAGTAAACTTTTCACTCCCAGCACCAATTAGCCTAAATGATAGCTCTGAATCTTTTGATTGGTCGAAGCAAATACTATTGGAACTCCACACAGTGGAGCCTTTGGGGCTACTTTGATATATACTTCCTTTGTAAAGATCACGTTGGGATCTGAGGAATCCAGATGTATCTGCTATATGTATTCTTTTTACTGGATACACCCGGCTATCAGGGAATTCCAAAGTTTGTCCTTTTAAATGAGATATATCAGACTTTGTAGTAAGGTCCCCCATTGGACTAAGTTGAAAGATATCCCCTAAATGTGTTCCAAGTTCGTGAAGAGTTGTTTTGGATGCATCCACGAATTGTTCAAATTTTGCGACTAAGTGTCCAGTTTTGGCATTGTGTGGTATAGTAATATGATCCAATGATCGTGATGTCACAATTTCGAAAGAAATGTACATCAATAGTAACCCCGATAGGAGGGTAAAATTTGGCCCCGCCATTCTTGTGTTTGGTGAATTGAACTTACTGAACCTCCTTCCAGAGTTTGAATATCTGTTTTAAATCGTTTTCAGCTTTTTGCCATTATCACCTGAAAAAACACAAAACGATATAATTATTAAGTAAATTTATAACATATTTCCTCGTAATTCTGCTTTTTTAAAGTGGTACATAATATAGCGAATTGCAAATACCTGTTGCTGTATGTTTGATAGTATTTGAACTAAAATTGATGGTAGGTGTATATCATACGTTATTTTACACGCAAAGTTTATCCTCTAAATCTAGTATTAAGATTGTGCTTAGCAAGTTTTAACTAACTGCCAATACTAGGATCTAGATCATAATTTGGAAAGTTGACAAAATAAAATGTATGAGGTATATGTGTATATACATGTACAAATAAGAAGAATACTATTTATAATTTTTGGCAAATGCATCTTAAACGAGGCTTCGTCACCAAACCATCAAAGCTGATTATATTGTATTTTGTACCAAGTACAGATTTTGACTCATTGATATGTTTTATGTTATAAACTTTTAAATTAATATTTGAGTTTTGGGATAACATTTGACTCACTGTTTGACATTAAACGTACCAAATACAAAATGTTAAGATACAAGTAGTTAAATCCATGAAAAATGAGAAGATTCATTCATAGTTACACACAGATACCAGTGCATTTAATAGCAATATGCTGACTTACGATACCCGCATCCATAATGACTCACACTTTCAATATTTATGAACAAATATTAATTACATTTTCCATTTAATCAAAAATTACATTTTTTAATTTCAATTACAATGATTGAACATCATTTTTATCCGTTTCTCACCTTTAATTTTCCTCAAATAAATCCAAAAATAACAAATTATACTTGAAATAACTCCAAAATTTTGATCGTTAAATTTTAAAATGGCTGAATTTAACCGAAGAGTTTTGTGACCTCAACTTCCATATAACATACTTATACGCTTAAAAAACTTCTAAAATTTCAACAGTGCAAATAGAACACACAGGTTTCAACTGAATAGACCTTTTCAAGTACATATTTTGACATGCATCAGAATAGAAGGTGTACCAGACCCTTAAATAAACATCACCATGACATGTTTTTAAAATTCAAAACAAAGTAAATAAAAAAACGAATCAACGAGGAATCAGTATTCGGATGTAAAGCAAAAGTTTCAACTTGTTCAAAAATCCAAAAATGCCTCAAAATTCATTTAATTTTTGCGAGACATTAGTAAACTTAAACAAAACTAGAGCGACATTTCATCCAAGATGACTGCATATTTTAACGATCAATAATAGTCTAAATATGAAAGGATGAAAAAATTCTTGTTGTATTATTAAACGTCCTGAATATTATTGATTTATGTAAGCTACCTTAAACTCACCTGAGGTAATATACATGTACATGTAGTTTGATTTAAATATTAATGAGTCATAAGTTAGCATTGGATGTATGTAAACTCTAGTGATTGTAACTTAAGTTAATTAGAGCAAAAATGACATAATTACTGTACATACATCTACATAACTACCTATCTATCTACCCTTACAAAAAAACATTAGCCGGGCATGCATCAACTCGGTCAAATATAACCTGTATTAATTTTTCAATTATAACAGTTCACTTATCCTTTTTTTTATTTGTTGTGAAAACTACTAAGTGAGTCAAGATTTCTAAATAATTGTCAGATTTTGGAACTCATATTTTTATGATCACATTATTTTGGGTTTATATTTTCACCATGCTTATAGGAAAAGCCCTATGGGGTTAAACCTAAATGGGTTAAAACCTAATGGGCTTACATTGTCACAAGTTTATGTTTAAACATCACAAATGCATGACAACTCAAACGAGTTCATACTTTTGTACATTTTTCCTGAACTCAGTCAAAAAATAAAGATACCGGTATTTGGTAAACAAAATAGAAAGAGAAGCACTCTAAATAAGCATTGTATTATTACTACAATACAGAGTAAACTTCCATTATTCAAAATGACATGTTTTGCGGCCACTTTTTGTTGATTTTTGTCCCTTTGACCACCTACTATTTCCAGTAGTTTGATTTTGCCCTTTAAAAGAGAGTTTCATCTTATATACTAGGTCCTGACACCTTTAAGGAAAAAGTACTCACAAAGTACTTCTATTTTTTAGTTTTTACCTCTATAGAGGTAATTTTGCTCTTGAAAAGAGAGCTTCGTCTGCCTAAAGTACAAGGCATTTGCCTACAGGGTAACTTTAAGCAAACTCACCTGTGGCCAGGTAACATCAAAGGGACATTTAAACTGTCATCAATAACATCAAAGGAGGTGTCCAGATTGTCCTTTTATGGACATATACCTTGTATAGTGTACAAGAATAACATTCTCTACTGGGAAGTTGACAATCGAAATAATTTTTTTGTCATCAGCAAATTGGCTTGTTGATTTTATATTTAATGTTTATTAGTAATTTGTACAAACATAAAACTAAAAAAATAATACTAACTAAAGAATATTTGTCATTTTGATCCTGATGCTAAATTACAATAAATATTCAATTGATCAAAGTTGCTTTTGTGAAACATCAGGCAAAATACAGTTTGATTTTACTCCTTTAAAAGACAGCTTCGTGTAGCTAATGTCCAAGGCATACATCATGTCATGTATTTTTCAAGTTCAACAATTAGAAATCTTGTATTGTAACAGTTAAAGTAATTAAAACTAAATACTCAATATGTCAAATGTAATTTCATATTAGCTCATAAGCTAACTGTGTGCATCCCAGCTCGTGAATGTATGAAGTATGATAAATACCTATAGGTGAGGAGATGGTGGAGATTAGGTAAGGGGACCGTATCATTCTCCTTTAGAAGATAATGGGATAAAATTCATGTGGTTTCTGAAACAGGCTGGGGTATATGGGGAGGTAGACTAGGGTACGGTGGGGTAGACTGGAGTACAGGGGAGGTAGACTACAGGGGGAGGTAGACTGGGGTACAGGGGGAGGTAGACTGGGGTACAGGGGGAGGTAGACTACAGGGGGAGGTAGACTGGGGTACAGGGGGAGGTAGACTGGGGTACAGGGGAGGTAGACTGGGGTACAGGGGGAGGTAGACTGGGATACATGGGGAGGTAGACAGGTGCATGGGGAGGTAGACTGGGGTACATGGGGAGGTAGACTGGGATACATGGGGAGGTAGACAGGTGCATGGGGAGGTAGACAGGTGCATGGGGAGGTAGACTGGGGTACATGGGGAGGTAGACTAGGGTACGGTGGGGTAGACTGGAGTACAGGGGGAGGTAGACTACAGGGGGAGGTAGACTGGGGTACAGGGGGAGGTAGACTGGGGTACAGGGGGAGGTAGACTGGGATACATGGGGAGGTAGACAGGTGCATGGGGAGGTAGACTGGGGTACATGGGGAGGTAGACTAGGGTACGGTGGGGTAGACTGGAGTACAGGGGGAGGTAGACTACAGGGGGAGGTAGACTGGGGTACAGGGGGAGGTAGACTGGGGTACAGGGGAGGTAGACTGGGGTACAGGGGGAGGTAGACTGGGATACATGGGGAGGTAGACAGGTGCATGGGGAGGTAGACTGGGGTACATGGGGAGGTAGACTGGGATACATGGGGAGGTAGACAGGTGCATGGGGAGGTAGACAGGTGCATGGGGAGGTAGACTGGGGTACATGGGGAGGTAGACTGGGATACATGGGGAGGTAGACAGGTGCATGGGGAGGTAGACAGGTGCATGGGGAGGTAGACTGGGGTACATGGGGTGGTAGACAGGTGCATGGGGAGGTAGACTGGGGTACAGGGGGAGGTAAGACAGGTAAAGGGGAGGACGACTGGGGTACAGGGGGCTGAATGAAGGCATAAGATGTGGACTATATGAAACTATACTGACTGAGGTATAAAGGGCTGGTGGGCTTGAGGTATTGATAGACTAGACAGGGGTATAGGGCCCTGGCTAAGGTATGATGGGCTGGATTGGGGTACAACTATGAAAGAAAACAGGGTGAGGTACAAGGAAATGGACTAGGATACATGGACATGGGTAGGGAACATGGACCAAACTAGGGGCACAAAGGAGTAATGGTATTTATACTTTAACATTCTCTTCAATAATGTAATGTCTTCCCTGTATTTTCACAGTACTAGATACAGAATCTGCTTTCACCATGTGAAATATATGTATAGACATTCTCCATCATAATATCATCTATTTTTACCTGAATCATTTCATAAATTGTAACATTGTGTGTGCAAGTATGATATTGGCTTAACTTTCAAGCGAATACAGGTGAACCTATATTACTTGTTACAGATACGAATCCAATATGCAATTGTAGCTAGCATTTGATATAAACAATCCAATCCAGTTACAATTATTCCGTATATTTCATCCCTCTGAACCTATACAGTCACATTCTACCATTTTTGAGATTTGTATGAAATAGTTCATAATTACAGTACCCGCCACATTTTCGGATTTTGAATTTTGCTAACAGTAATTCATAGATCTAAAATTCCAAAATTGATCAAAAATACATTTTTGAGAAAGGATAATTCAGAGTATTGCTATATGGTCATTGTGAAATTAAGTCCGATTTTCGGTACAGGATCCTGGCCGATGAGTGTTTGTTCAAAACTGCTTTCAATTTTAAGAATATACTTAATATCGCCAGGGTGCTGTTATTGAAGATTGGAGCAAAAAGTGACCACAGTAAGGTACGGAATAAATGTACTTTCATGAAAAGGTAACATCTATCCTTTGCATTTGTTTGACTTCACTTCTTAAAAGAGAGCTTTGTCTTTGCACGCAGGGTAGGTAACATCCATCTTACCATTCTCTCTATCAAACATATCATGGTGAAAATTATCGGAATCAAAAATGTTGAGACTGTTCTGGTCGGGGTTCTGGTTGCGAAATAGATATTGTTCAGAGATAGAGAATGGACGCAAGACTAAACAATTTTGGAAAAATCTGAGTTAGTTTCTCGAGTATGATTAATTTCGTCTCTGCTGAATTTGTTTTCATTTCCGATATGTTATTTTAGAAACACTGGGTTAGAATGACATTTTTCAATGTATTCAACATGCAAAACTTGTTTTTAATATCCAGAATTCTAAATACATGAAAATTCAGACATTGTTAAGAACGTTTTCTTTCACTTTTCTCTCATCCTTAATGATGGACTTCACTGCTATCGCGGAAATTAACGAAACAAAACACCTTCAAACGAAGCATGATATTCTCTAAGATTTTTCAACTGTTTTTCACTGTTAGTCACCAAGAAATTGCACTTTCCAAAAATTTGAATTTTATTCTTTAAAAGAGAGCTTCATGCAATCTGATTCTCAGGGTTCCAATCATGTCTTCATATCTTAACAGGCCATCTTGATTGCCAAAATTGCAAATAGGATAACAGCAGAGACTAAATAGATAAGAAAACTGTCACATGTAATCTATAGACAGATTCTTGTAGTCAATAAAAAAATTAGCTCACTTTTAAGACAAACATCTACTTCAGAGTGATCTAATTAGTTGTCTAATTATCTAATTAACTCAACTGGGTTGCTCAGTATAGAGCATTTATGTCAACAAGACAATCAAGGTAGATACAAGATATCAGGGCTCAACATTGAAGAGTAAGTGGCGAGGGGGGGGGGGGTATTTGGAAACATAACATTAAACATGGGTGACAAATAGTTTCATGAATCAAAGAGTTCTGGTCCTGTCTTTCAAAACATCATTTTTGCAGAATTACATATTTTCTTTATACTTGACATGACTTGATCTTGTTAACAGAAGTAATATATATTTGACAATACATACTTAGACTCTGGTAGGCTGTTCTTAAGCATTAAATGTTATATTGTATTAATGTTTAAATAGTTTTACGTCTTTTAAGATGTCTCATATTATTTTGAAATGACTATTCTGATATTGCATATATAGTACTCTATTTTGTTCTTCGGACTTGTTGAGTTTCCATGATTTTATTCTAAATATTTTCCACAGTATTTTAGAAATACTTTATTTGAATACTTTATTTGAATAGGTTATTTAATGTTCACACATTTTGTTTATATTTATATTTAATTCTAGCACATACAACTTCTAAAGGTTATTGGTGTTTGTTTAAAAGCATTTGTTGATATATATTTAAGGCTTAACCAATGAAAATCTAATAAGAAATGAACGCTTTGCGTCTCAGACTTCAAAGAGAGAGAGAGAGAAAGCTTGATCAAACTCCTGTGGTTAAACATTTTTCTGTGGCGATATTCAACACTGGCCTAACGGTGCCGAAAATCCCCCCCCCCCATCCGTATTACCACAGCCTGCTTTTGTGGTTTCTTTATATCACCTAAGATGAACAAATAGTTTCAAACTGATTCACAGTTGCTGCTGATTCACTTGTCTACTGTTGATTTTTAGGAAGTGCTACAGAGTAAGGAGACATGACAATGTTGATGCGATTGTTTCCTTATATCTGCTGATTAGAGACAAGGGAATTCAATACAAGAAAAAGCTATCTGAGGATTTTTCTGTCACTTTTCTCACTCAATTTTTTAACTTCTAATATAAGCTTTACTTGTATTTTAGGTTTGTGGTTATTACACAAGAACATATCCCTATTTTTCCCAATTAGGGATATGAATATTCAAGAAAATAGACAAGAAAACTTAAGTTTTTTCGTATGATTAACGTTTACTGACTTTCAAACATAAAATGTGATTAGATCGAGAAACCTTAGACAGATGTTTCTGTTTAAAAATTACATTATACTAATCAGTAGATATTAGGCATTTCACATCCACCTATCACAATGGAGAATGGAATATTCATTGCTAAGCCGACAGATATTCATAGTAATTATGCAAAATAATCATGCAGCAACTGTGAATCAGTTTGAAACTATTTGTTCATCTTAGGTGATATAAAGATACCACAAAAACAGGCTGTGGTAATACGGATGGGGGGGGGGGCATTTTTGGGACCGTTAGGCCAGTGTTGAATATCGCCGCAGAAAAATGTTGAACCACAGGAGTTTGATCAAGCTCTCTCTCTCTCTTTGAAGTCTGAGACGCAAAGCGTTCATTTCTTATTAGATTTTCATTGGTTAAGCCTTAAATATATATCAACAAACGCTTTAAAATAAACACCAATAACCTTTAGAAGTTGTATGTGCTAGAATTAAATATAAATATAAACAAAACTTGTGAACATTAAATAACCTATTCAAATACAGCATTTCTAAAATACTGTGGATTCCAACAGATCTGAAACTAATTTTGATTGCCATGAGAATGAGTCTATTTCTGACACACCCTTGGTGACTCCACTAAGCCATGGTTACAGTTCAAATGCCAAACGGTCAACATAAAACATGATAAAATCCAAACTGAATAAAATGCATAAATACATGTAGGGTTGAAATATTTGAAGCTGTATGAATTCATTGAAATTATTGAAAAACAAAAATATTTCAGTTCACACTTTTATAGGAAATGTACTTACATTTTATTTGTATTATTCCGAATCAAGGAAGTAACCGTTATCCAACAATATCTAGGTATAAATATTTGTAATGCTCTGGTGATTTTAATACGATTTTGGCGTCTATTTTCGTATTTTGACTACTTATCTCCAATTTTGAATCTTCGTGCTTCTAGGTACTTTTCAACTGAGTGAGCAAATTGAGACCCCTTCTTTTAATAACAATTCAATCGGATACGAATTTTGAATCGCTTCAGTATTGATAATTTTATCGTCGTAGTTAGATGTCCTGCTTTATTCATCAATCGTATATAACGTGTATCCTTAATTGTCATTAATTAACAAAATTAAGATAAGATTATCGAAATCCAAAATAAATACCTCACCTGTAATTAATATGCGACCCAAGGGAAATGAAGAGACCCCTTCAAAGTGTTCAAAGTACAGTCTGATTATAGTGTAATACTATGTATTTCAAGATGCCATCTTTAAATGAAACTTCGAACTAAAAGTACGAGTTGTTTTCGAAAATTTTGAATTCGTAGATATAAATCAGTGGTTGAATGACGGTAGGTATTTCATGATTTCCAAATAAAAAAAGCGATAAAATTATGTAGTTATGTAGTTCTGAATGGTAAAGCAGCCCCGTGGACCCACGTAGGCTCTGGTATAGCTCAGGGAAGTGTGCTCGGGCCGCTTCTCTATGTCCTCTACGTAAACGACATGCCAGACACAATAAAACATAGCAATATCACTCTATTTGCCGACGACACCAAACTATACAGGATAGTGAAGGATCCAGCAGATAGAAATATGCTCCAACACGACCTTGACTCAATCCAGGACTGGGCCAAAAAGTGGAACCTAAAGTTCAATGCACAAAAATGTTCAGTTTTACACATAGGCAGAACCAACAAGGCCATGAGTTACAATATGAAAGACATAAACACAGGAGAAGAAATCCCCCTAAACAACTCTACCTGTGAAAGAGACTTGGGGGTCTTTATAGACTCTAACCTGAATTTCAACCAACACATCAGTAAAATAGTGAACAAAGCCAACCAAGCTGTAGGGATGATCAAGAGGACATACGTATACTGGGACCTTGAATCTTTTAAGCTTCTCTTCAATGGACTTATAAGACCAAAATTAGAATTTGCAAACTCAGTCTGGAATCCATTCACCAAGAAAAACATAGAACTTATTGAAAATGTGCAAAGAAGAGCTACACGTATTATCCCATCCCTGAGAGAACTATCGTATTCAGAAAGGCTCAGAACTTTAGATCTAACAACCCTAGCCTATAGGAGACTTAGAGGCGACATAATAGAAACTTTCAAGTATATGAACAACTTATATGATGTGAATAGCCTAGACATATTCCCAATCCAACAGAATAGAAACACAGGACCAACACTAAGAAGAGCAAACACACAGATGCTCAGAAAATTCCACTGCTCAACGACAAACAGACAAAACACCTTCAGCCAGCGAGTGATAAGACAATGGAATGCACTCCCTGAATTCGTAATTAGGGCTGATAATACCAACACTTTCAAAAACAGGCTAGACAAACACTGGATGGATCATCCAATGAAATTAGACCACAACATTGATTATGGCTATGTACATAGGTAGTTGGGGAAACTTGACTTTTTAACTTTTTATGCAACAATCTAAGGACAATGAGGTCCTTGCAATGATCGATTAACAGGCAAGCATGCCTATAAATCGTAATTCACTTATAATCTTATAATCTTATAATCTTATAATGCGCTGAAAAAAAAATACCGTCAATTTGAGATGTAAAAATAATTCGACCCCGGCAGGACTCGAACCTGCAATCTTCTGATTCGAAGTCAGACGCCTTATCCATTAGGCCACGAGGCCGTCGATATATAATGCAGTTTAATAGATTTATATAAAGTAGTACATTATTAAATACATTGATTTTTCATCTACTTTTCTCCTGATGACCATTGTGAATTGTTGTGTTTTATGGATTATGGTGACGGTGTTAAAGAAAATATGGTCCCCTGGGGATTATGGTCCCTTTTCTTAAAGGCCCTTACTGGCCCTGATTGTGGATACGATAATAAGGGAAAGAGTTGCATGTAGGTCACCATATAAATCAATGGAAAGTAGGACCATTATTTGATAGGACCTCCTACCCTTTTACAACGGCTTTGCGAACGGATGTTGACCCTTTGAATTGCCTATGGACTTCTTTTATGAGTAGTACGTCTAGTAGGCCTATAGTATCTAAGCTACAACTATTTTTGATGTTTATTGGCTATCAATTTTTCAATTTTTCTTCAACATGTATTGTAATGACTTCAGTATGAATGAAATGTCCCTTGGTGTTCATTTTCTGGTCCTGGATTGTGATATTGGTTCTCGATTGTAGGGGGAAGGGGGATGTCAGACATTGTTTTTTTCACGTTAGATCATGATCATGGTTTTGGGATATATATTAGGCCTATATAGGGTTTACTTTTCTTATGACAGATTTACACTTACAGTTTGCTTTTCTTGTTCTTTAAAGTTTTTAGTCACCCTTCCCTTTTGGCATTTGCGCTTATATATTTAGTGTTCATTTTTAAAATAGACTATTCTAATGATTTTAATTTGATTGGGTCTGTTTTGTCTAGGATGAAGAAAATATTTCTATAGTTGTCTATATTATTATAGACAAAGCTGTCTATATTATATAGGCCTAAGCTTATACATATGTCTAGAAGGAAAGATTTCTTTTCCTATACTTCCACTAACGCGAACATCACTTCCGACCTCCGCGAACAACGTTCCGTCCACAAGAACCAAGGTTCTCACAACGCGCCTAGATATCGATTCTTCGAGTTGTGAGAACCGTGGTTTGCGAGGTCGGAACCGATGATTTCATTCGTGGAAATCTCGGGGGCCTGTATAGTTGTACAGTCATATGATGATTTTTATCGTGTAGATAACAATTATTTTTCTTTACCACATGTTTATCGTCAACGAATACAAAATGTATGTATCACTTGCAAACATACGAGGTCATCACTGTTATCACAAATATTAGACATAATAGCATTTTATTGTTTTGATGTTTTATTGTTCTAACAGAAAGGACATATATATTATACATTGAGTCGGCTAATTGTGAAAATATTGCAGTCTAGTGGCCTCTAGTCAAATGTTTAGCAATATCTTAAATTATTTACACACTTGTAGAATATCCTTTTGTAATTTATTATAGTGATCGATAGATTGATTTTCTTTGGTCACAGTGTATGGTACTGAGCTCTAGCCAGCTGCCTAATATTCAAATTCTCAAAATATCATACGGACGACTTTTAAAAAGTCACGCTTTTTTCGTGAATCTAATAATTATTAAACATAACTTCTATAAACATAAAATGTGCATGTGTTATGTTGACGATTTTCATTTACTATCTTTCCTTTTACGTTCCCAAGGGAGTAGATGGGACAGAGGCTGTACCCTGCGTGCAGAGTCTAGTTAAACTGAAGACGAAGCTCTCTTTTAAGAAGTGAAGTCAAACGAATGCAAAGGGTACAGAGTCTGTAAAATGTTGGGCAAAATCTCCTCGAAAGTCATGCAAATGTTCCCCTTGCGATCCTAATTTTATCGACATCCACTCTTTCAGTTTTTGCAAGATAACTCTATATAGATACCTGATGATACCTGATGATTGTCTTGAAAGAATGTCAAAATGTTTGAACAAATTGGCACGGCATTGGCACGAGAGCTTAAATTATGCTCTAATTAATTATGCTTTAATTTTTGCTAAAGCTACGTTCACACCAATGGCGCTTTAAAGTGGCTTGTAAAGCGGCACCAAAGCGTAACAAAGCTTGATTAAAGCGTCGGGGTCGTAATAGGTAGTAGAAAAGCTCGGAGTAAAGCGGGATATTCGGCAAGAGCTCAAAAATTAAAACTGTTCAAGCTACGTTCGCACCAACGGCGCTTTGATGGCGCTTTAAAGCGGCTTGTAAAGCGGTATCAAAGCTTGATTAAAGCGTCGGGGTCGTAATGGGTCGTAGAAAGGCTCGGAGTAAAGCGGGATAATCGGCAAGAGCGCCAAAATTTTTTAAACTGTTTAAATATTTTGGGCGCTCAATTACAAACCGTAACAAAGCTCAGCAAAGCTTGACCCAAAGCGTAGGAAAGCTTTACAGAGTTTGGTTCAAAGCGGGGACCCCAGTCGCTTCACTGTCTGTTACCACTTGACACGCTTCGTTAAGATGTCTCAAGATTTGCTACGATCTGGCATCAAGATCTGACACGAGGTCAGACGCTTTCATCAATATCTGACACTCTTTGTTATACTTTCATGAAGGACTCTCAAGCTTTCCAACGAATTGAGACGCTTTAATCAAGGATTGAAACGATTTGCAAGGCTTTGTTACGCTTGACAAGTGTCCACACGCTATATCACGCCTTGCGACAAACATCATGTCTTCTTCAGATAGGTCATGCTCTGGTCCATCTGGAATTTCTGGATCTTGTTGTTCTGCCATCGTGTTCTCGAGTCAAAGATGCAATGGTTTTATGGATCTACTGCATCTTTATATAGTCATAGTCAAAGCGGCATGAAATCGGCGATCTCGACATTTTCCAATGCGTGACAGAGCTTAACAGAGAGTAACAATGCACAACAGAGCTTGGAAATCGTATCAGAGCCTGATTTAAAGCGTCATTATCGCATCAAAGCGTAATAATGCATATCAAAGCTTATCAAAGCGTGATGTTAAGCGTAACAAAGCCTGGTCAAAGCGTGAGGAACCTATCAGAGCTATGTTAAGCTTTCCTACGCTTTGGATCAAGCTTTTCTGAGCTTTGTTACGGTTTGTTAAGCTTTGATACGCTCTCCTGGCTTTAATCAATTCGTAACAGAGCGCCTAAAATTGTTAAAAAGTTTAAAATTGTTTGGCGCTCTTGCCGAATATCCCGCTTTACTCCGAGCTTTTCTACGACCTATTACGACCCCGACGCTTTAATCAAGCTTTGTTACGCTTTGGTGCCGCTTTACAAGCCGCTTTAAAGCGCCATCAAAGCGCCGTTGGTATGAACAAAAATGACAAAAATGACGGCGCTCTTCTCGCCGATTTAAAGCGTGGCATTCGCCGTTGGTGTGAACGTAGCTTCAAGGCTTGTCTCAATTCCTTCTACATTCGTTGCATTTCTTCATCCTAGGTTAAGCTAAGTTCACACCAACGGCGCTTTGATGGCGCTTTAAAGCGACGTGCTTGCACGCTTCTTTAAAGCACCATCAAAGCGCCGTTGGTGTGAACTTAGCTTTAGTTTCGTTGCACATTTAACCCCCTTTTACCTATAGATATCCATATTCGATTGTCTCTGTGATACCTGGTCCTTTTTTTAATATAGCCCTTGCACTCTAATAAAGGGGTAGGGGTTACAAACATTTGGATATTGAATATTTTATGCATTTAGGGTATATAACATACATTAAGCTAAGTTCACACAAACGGCGCTTTGATGGCGCTTTAAAGCACCGTGCAAAGCGCTTTGCACGCTGCTTTAAAGAGCAATAAAGGCGCCGTTGGTGTGAACTTAGCTTTAGAACCCACAGTCTTTTGTTAAGTCGCTCAAGGTTAGGTAAGGTGTGTAGGGATAGGATCAGAAGGGCTTGAGATAATAGTAGAATGATTGCATAAAACTGAGAACCTCTTTTAAACTATACATATACGACACCCATTACGTCTAGAATCATAATAAAATTGTCAAAAATGGAATCATCAAAATTAGTAAAATACAGGGTGTCCAAAAAACAGGACCGTAAGAAAGTTGAATAATTCGGTCAATTTCACATATTTTGCCTTGACATTTTAGAATTATTTAGGTCATTCAATGTAAGTTTTGTTCTAGAAGTTTGAGGATAATCTGTTAATTGTAGTACTTTACAAAACAAGCTCAAAGTGGCCACTTCTCCTCTATACACAAACGAATACTGTGAACCAAGTTGTTAATGTCCCTAACCTATAAACATCAATGTGGATGGTACATATTGGGGTGGTTATTGCCATCTTAAGATTGTTAGGGGCCTGTCAGTATACACATTGGCTTGGAGAAATCCCCAAAGATAAAAATCTGGGGGATTTAGATCTGGCGAAAGCTGACCATATGTTTGCGTCCTGCGACTGATGAGCTGACCACCAAAGCATTGCCTAAACCATTTCAGCATATCATTTGCAGTGTCAGGGTGGTATTGACTCGTTGAAACCACTGCTTATCTCCTTTGATGTCCTTTCTGTTGATTAGTGACCTCCAAAACTTAGCGAGAACTTACTGGTCCTTGTTCATGGTGAAAGCATGTCCCCAGTCTCCTTCGAACCAAAAAGGACAGATGATTCCACGTTTCCTCATAGCCACCCAGGCAATGCATTGTTCAGAATGCAATGGATGCTACAATATTTCATCAGGAGGATGTAAGCCCCAGTTTCAATTACTCTTGGAATAAACTTGTCCATTCAGAAAGATGTGTGGAGGAAGATCATCAACAACTTTGTTCGCCGGATTGAATTGTGCATAGAGAGGAGAGGTGCACATTTGGGTATGTTTTGTAAGAAACTGTAGATTTTGACTCAACTGGCAGATTATTATCAAATTTTCACAACAAAATTCACATTGAATGAACTAAATAATTCTGAAATTTCAAGGCAAAATATGCAAAATTATTTAACTTTCTTACGGTCCTGTTTTTGGACACCCTGTATCTAGGACCTAAAACATCGTCAATAGGGATGAAGACATTTAAAGGTGAATTTTGATCACCGAACGCCAATTATTGTTTTCCTTGTTCCCTCTTCAAAAGAGGAGACGCGAAAGATTTTCCTTATAAGGTGAAAATATTTCCCATGATGCAGTTCGCGGAGGGACAAATTCATGCTTCCTTATTTTCCCCCATAGGTTTAAAACATAGCGTGGTGAAAATTTTTGTTCAGGTAACTTTACAGTTTAATCACCATTTCGCAAATTTTATGTTCCTTAACCTTAATGTTATCAGCTTGAATATGCAGAAAGTTCACTGTGAATGAGTTACAGTTCCCATAACTGCAAGTGCATACGTATGCGCATTTGGACAATCCATTGTTGAAACTTTCATCAAGTCTGGCGCATTCCTTGAAGTTATCACCATCCTGGGAAGCCGTAGCTCCGACCATGGGGTAGAAGTGCTTGCAAAGTCCAGCAGATCGTAAAGGCATGAAGATCTCAAGTGTGAAATTATCGGAGCTATATCCAGTTAAGTCGAACCAAACAGAAGAAGCGATCATCATCTCCAGAGGAAAGCAAGTCTGCATATCGCCATCGGTGAGTTCCATTCCGTGGTACTTAAGGGTGCTTACGGTGTTGCTGCACTTGAGCGTGATCCGCGGTAATCGCCGATGGATTGGCCCACTCGGCGCTGTAAAATAAACATACATACCCGTAGCTGTTTTTTAGACCTTAAACAAAAGATAACCTCCGAGGCAACCCCCAAATAACGAAGAGAAGACTACTATGTGCGTACAATCAAGCATGAAAACGTTTCCATGTGAATTAGTCTGTTATATAAACAAAGATTCGTGGTCTTTAATACCTGCATGGTATGAGATAACCACACAGAATGAATGACAACCTTTGCATTATCTTAGAAGTAACACATTGTATTTCCTCTTTTTGGCCTCAGTGAAGATACTCACCATAGTAACAGGCTGGAACAACACCATCGAGGCTATCGTAGCAACAACCTCTGCGATGACATTCTTCTATCCCCACTGGTCCACATGATACCCGTGAAGAAACTGGAACGCTGCATTCTCCTGCGTTCAAAATACATTTTCAAGTAATACTCAGTTGGACAATAAACAATTAGGCCTATTGACCCATCGGGAAGCTGCCTGTTATATTCTACACGGAAAACTGAGACCACAGGGCGAGGTTAAAATGGAGGGATTTAATTTTGGCATTTAATCGAATGGAGAGATCAAGAATTTTTTGTTCTGAAAACAAAAATCATCGTTAAATTGAAAACCCGTCAATTTTCCCATGTGCTTCATTTTTGTAACATTGACGTCTTAGCTTAACATTTTCATATTCATGGATTCCTAATTCTTCATACTGCTCAAGATGTTTTTGTTATTCTCTTGATGAAGAAAATGAAAATTCCTATACTTATTAGCGCCAAATTGATATTTATTTTATTGTGCTATTAGAATAAGAGTTATTTTATTTTTGGTTATTTAAGTTTCGTTTCTTATGTTGTTATTTTAATTTTGTACTTCAATTTCTACTTAATGTCTGATTTGTTTTATCTGGATGAGCCATGAAATGTCAAATAATAAAGATTTTGAAATTAATTGTTTGGTACTCATGTTGTAAGTAGTGTCATTCACTACTAAAATTATGTTATGAGGTTGTGACCTGAATTCTGGCTATTTTTATCCCGGTGTAGGGTACGAGGTCCTATTAAATTATCTTCCTACACTCCATTGATTTATATGGTGACCTAAATACAACTCTTTCCCTTATTATCATATCCACAATCAGGGCCAGTAAGGGCCTTTAAGAAAGGGGACCATAATCCCTAGGGGACCATAATTTCTTTCACACCGGATTAAAATAGCTTGATTCGCTTACAACCAATCAAATTACTTCGCGCCAAAAAATTCTTTCTTTTGGCGGGCTCTAGGTGACCAAACCTTTTATTTTCACAGATCAATAAAATCACCCACCCACCACACCCACACCAGGTTTTCTCTTTTAAATTTTCATTAAAAATAACCTTTAGACGTATCTTCAGCCATTTCAGCTGAGGTGGTTGAATTGAAGCTCGAACACCAACGAATACGGGTGCTTTACATGAAATTGACAACTCAAATTTTTACTTTCGATACAAGAGAAACTTCAAAGGTTTGACATACATTTTTGAAGCAAATTAAAATACATCTTTATACATTCTTAAATAACTTTAGTTTCGATGAAGTAAGTGGATAACATTATCAATTCTGATACAAGGGAAAGAGCAAAAATTCCAAATTACTTTACCTGTAAAAATTAAAGGTTTGGTCACATAGAGATTTGTTTCAGTACTGAGGTATTAGAGAGAAGAGCCCGCCAAAAGAAAGAAAGGATCTAGTGCACTCTCCATTATGATTTCCCCATGAACAAAATGAATCATGTTTAGGTGCAACATAAATAATACTATGTCACATAATACTTTGGAAAATATTTAAGCATTTGGAACCACATGGGCTGAGGTTGAGGTCATTAAGTTCTGCAAGGGTGTATTGACTTGGCATTGGATGTACTCCATTGACTTAACATATGGATACCATCAGATTCCAATGGAGGCCATTGGTTTCTATTGATTTTCACAAAAATACCCAAAATACACTATGACCTGAATCGAATGCAAATTAAATAATTTCACAATATGACACAAATGGTATATCACATCAGATGTGCAAATATGAAGTTTGCAATCGATTCAGGTCATACTTCAAATTAAAAGATTATACATTTTTTCATCAATTTTTTCTTACAAAATGGCTATAGAAAAATGCTTCAAAAGCAACTTTTACACTTATGAAATGCCATACAACTTTGTAAATCCAAAGATTATACTGTTATGTTTCATTATTTAATAACATTATTTGGATAAGATGTAGGGATGTGTAGGATGCAAATGGATTTTGACAGGCACAAAAATACTTCCTGGTTTGGAATCTATGCCTCTACACTTCATGATTGAATTATGACCCTAATAAATGGCCCATACATCAATACAGTGCTCAATATAGGTCAACAAGATACTAGTCTGCATATAAATGTAATAATAAAAGCAGTATACTCATTTTGAAAAATCAGATGAACAATTTTTTCATGGGGAGATCATAATGGAGAGCGCACTACTTCCTTTTTGGCGCGAAGTAATGAATTAAGCTATTTCAATCGGGGATAAAAATAGCCAGAATTCTTATTCAATTTGCAGTTCGGGCGATTTAGGAAAATTTGGGACATATTTAAGTGTATATGACACTTAATACAAGAACATTATAATCAAGTTCCAGTGAAACAGTCAAATAAAGTTGACGTTTGGCCTGGTAGCAATTAGATCATACCATCAATGATTTCTGCTGCGAGTCTCTGATTGTTACCACGTACAAGAGATTCCGCCTTGTCATTGTTATCATCATTTATGACCCGAATTCCGTGCCCGCCATATCCATCAAGTGTTACACCGCCACATGTATCAATCCATCCATTCGATGACGACATAGATTGAAACTGAATCAAATCACCTTGGTATATAGGTGTCCCTGAAGAAATAAGACAATTCTTACTGGAGTGGGTTAATTAGTGTGCATCATTTATCAAAACCTAACAAAATCCACAAAGGTGAATATCCTCAAGCTCACTGCATCATTTCTAGAAAAAATGTGCACACATCAGGCCCGTAGCCAAGATTTGCCAAGGGGAGGGGGGGGTCACTTTTTAAAAATATCCAGGGGGGTCACTTTTGACAATTTTGGTCCAAAAATTGCCAAAATCACTTAATAAGTGCTCAGAATGGTGAAAATCTCCATGATTTTGGAAGAAATTCTGGCCAGGGGGGGGGGAGTTATTTAACTTTTCTACGGTGCTGCTTTTTGGACACCATGTACCTTCATTATGAATTGACGTCGTCTTGTTGAACTGCCATATCAGCCATTTATATGTATCGGTATGCTGATCAAAATCTTTGGGGTCTATCATTATCGCCCCTGAGTCAGGATATTCAAAGCACGGGCCGAACCCGCCGCAATGAGCAAGAAAGAACCCGTCATGTTTTGCTCGTATGTAAACTGCGTCTCCAGAATGCAATGCAGAGTGATTGGTACCACCCGTTATCTGAAATCAGATAATTTGCAATATCTTAACTTTAACCTTCAAAATTTTACTTTTCTGACCTCTTTAGAAGTTTTTGATAATGAAATAAAAATGTGGACGTCTTCAAGCTCACTCTGTAGTATTTGATACTCTACTGTAACTGACAAAAGATAGGAGGGGGAGTCTTTTGAAAGCTTGGACCCAATTATCATATGATGTAGTAATATGAAGTTAATGAACTGACACACACGATCTAATGATATGCACGTCCAAGGTCAATTTTATTACCTTTGAGATGGTGAAAGCAAAGCTGTCGGGATTGTTTGCTCTTAAAGTAGATTCTTCTGATTCCGCCAAACCGTACGCGTGTATCCACTTTCCATTTGTGATACAGGTCAATGGGCTGTTCGATGGTCGCAATATATATTTGGTGCGTTCGATTCTGAACTCCAATCGATCTCCTTCGTGTAGGCTCCCTGGAACTATAACAAGATAAATAAATGAAATCGCGTATTACACTAAAACTTGTATTTTAAAACACCGGGCTAATCTGAAAATCTTCCAATCTGAACACTTTCTCCAATCCCATTTTCCTTCCATTGACTGCTATGCTAAACACTTGAAATTTGATCATGAACACCTCATGAACAGTGAACAGTCAGATGTGAAAGATTAACCCATGAACAGTTTTCATAAAATATCACATTTTCATACAAAATTGCTCAAATATTTTATATTAATCCCTGTTTTCTTATAATATCCAAAATTTGGGAAAAACATTAAATGATCTCAAAAATAATTTGTCTTTCTAACATGACTACAAAAATTATGAAAATCAGATTTCAAATTATTGGAATGCTATAAAGAAGGTCAATAGAACTTAAAATATTGATGTGTTCCTATTTCTTGAAAATTCAGAATCTCTCGAATGCAGAAAACTCAAACTGTGAAGACTTCCTGATCAGAACGCTTTTAGCCAATTCCAATGGCGGTCAATTAACAGGTTTTGCTGAATATACGATTACAGAATTCGTTGTTTATTGTTTTTGTTTATTGAACAAGTTAAGTCTGGTTTTAGAATAGTTTATTAACAATTCATTGGCTTTTAACCAATCTTCTATAAGATCTTCTCTATAAGAGGTTTTAAATCTTTATCTGACAGTATCAGAGACCTTAAATATGTCAGTTACATATAATATGAATAAAGTTGGCCCAAGGACCGAACCCTGGGGTACACCTCATGATATACTTTGTAAATCAGAGTCAACATTGTTACATGACACAGTGATTTCACCTAATACTCCCTCTTGGGGTCATAGCCACTATAACCTGTATATATGTTACATGGATTTAAAAAATAGAATTTAAAGAGATAAAAAAGGCCAGCCCCTTGTATTCCATGAACGATTTAATTTATCGAGAGGAATTTTATGACTAATGGTGTCAAAGGCGTTAGATACGCAAAGTGAAGGATTATTTTATAACTAATGCCTTGGTCACATTTGCTCCGATTTTCACTACAGCGCCCGGCTGATTGAGTATGTTGTTCAAAATTGAATACAATATTGTATTGAACAAAACACTCAATCCGCCGGGCGCCGGCCGATGGATATGTGCATATGCGACCCAGGCATTAGGCTATATAAATAAAATCATGACTAAATCTTAAGTGAACAAACCAGTAGTTTGGGCATTGTCCTAAATTAATGCACACACTTTTGAAATTTTTTGTTGATATATTGCATTCACTTTTAAAACAGTTGCATTTACTGCAGAAGTTAAAAACATAAAAGTACATATTATAATGTATATTCTAAAAACCGATACCGTAATAGGCTGACGACGATGCCACGTGAGTTATACATGCTAGTCCCATCCAAACGACGCTGTGATCGAACGCCATCTTCCTTTATTTCTTACGTTGGGAGAGTAGAACTTACGGCTTTAAATGTTTTCAATCATCATCACATTATCAAAGACGCGATTGTCTTCCAGGCTTCGCACCTTTCTAGAGAATGCACTTTATCAACCAACAAATTAAATATTTACGAGAAATTATGAAAAACAATTGCCGCCATAGAAATGCTATTATTTCTATCAACATATGAAATATTTATATGGGATTGCCTAGCGAAAAACAATGACAGTTGCATTGTGTTTTGTTAATATGTTTGACAAAACAATCTATGAATCCAAGCACTTTAAGAGTTTATCTACCCAAATCCCACAACTGCATTCTGATACTCATAACATCTTTCTGTTTCACCTGAAACATGCTCTGATATTATGAGACATGTTCTGTGGTCTGAGCACATCAGATGGGAAGAGTTACAACTGTCAATAAGTGTGATTGTTATCATGTAATCATTTACCTAATGTCATTACATTACATAAAAGGCATTGTATTTAACAGTAGATATTAGCACAGGCACGTGTACACAAGTTTAATGACCCCAATTAAATGAAATATGAGCTGGGATGAAGGATCTCAAAAATCCTCAATTTTGGGCTCTCCTGGATGGCCAAATCAAGCTCATTATATCATGGCATCCCAGGGCTGAGAAGATTTGAGATGTCATGGTTTATCATGATGCCACAACTGGATCAATAATAGATTCAATCGGCGCGTGCTCACTTACACCCACAATCCGAAATCACGGTACCGTATGGTACATTAAGAGTATGGTACCATACGGTACATAAAGAGTAAGGTACATGTACCATACGGTACATAAAGAGTATGGTACCATACGGTACATAAAGAGTATGGTACCATACGGTACATTAATAGTATGGTACCATACGGTACATTAAGAGTATGCCGTACCATACGGTACATTAAGAGTATGCCGTACCATACGGTGCATTAAGAGTATGGTACCATACGGTACATTAAGAGTGTGGTACCATACGGTACATTAAGAGTATGGTACCATACGGTACATTAGGAGTATGCCGTACCATACGGTACATTAAGAGTATGGCGTACCATACGGTGCATTAAGAGTATGGTACCATACGGTACATTAAGAATATGGTACCATACGGTACATTAAGTGTATGGTACCATACGGTAAATTAAGAGTATGGTACCATACGGTACATTAAGAGTGTGGTACCATACGGTACATCAAGGGTATGGTATCATACGGTACATTAAGAGTATGGTACCATATGGTACAATAAGAGGATGGTACCATACGGTATATTAAGAGTATGGTACCATACGGTACATTCAGAGTATGGTACCATACGGTACATTAAGAGTATGGTACCATACGGTACATTAAAAGTATGGTACCATACGGTACATTAAGAGAATGGTACCATACAGTACATTAAGATTATGGTACCATACAGTGCATTAAACTGTGGTACCATACGGTACATTAAATTATGGTATCATACGGTACATTAAGACTATGGTACCATACGGTACATTAAGAGTATGGTACCATACGGTACATAAAGGGTATGGATCATATGGTACATTAAGAGTATGTTACCATACAGTTCATTAAATTATGGTACCATACGGTACATTAAGAGTATGGCGTACCATACGGTGCATTAAGAGTATGGTACCATACGGTACATAAAGGGTATGGTATCATATGGTACATTAAGAGTATGGTACCATACAGTTCATTAAATTATGGTACCATACGGTACATTAAGAGTATGGTACCATACGGTACATTCAGAGTATGGTACCATACGGTACAATAAGAGTATGGTACCATACGTTACATTCAGAGTATGGTACCATACGGTACATTAAGAGTATGGTATCATACGGTACCATTGGTGATTGACTGTGTACAATAGCATGATAACGTGTCCATGTAACCCCCATAATTTCTCTTTGAAAATATCAACTTGCTAAGTTTCCCAATTACTATTATTCCTTGGTTTTTTTAATAAAAAATCAAGTGTCATCATTTCATATACAGTGGTATTCTTCATTTACATCAATACATCTGAAATAATTACATTGCTTTGGGCCATACAATAACTTGCATTAAATAAGGTCAATGCACAGATATTGTGTTAAAATAAGATAACAACTGAAACTGTTTATGTCATATGGGAAAAAGTCATATGGAGAAAATATGATTTTGATTGGATGACATACTTATTCCAAAAAGAAAAATAACATTATTTTCAAATAAGAGACATAATATGCAAGGCACACTATAGATATGCAAGGCACACTATAAATATGCAAGGCACATTACAAAAATGCATAGCACAATATTAATATGCAAGGTACAATATTAATATGCAAGGCACAATACAAATATGCAAGGCACAATATAAATATGCAAGGCACAATATAAATATGTAACGCACAATACAAATATGCAAGGCACAATACAAATATGCAAGGCACAATATAAATATGCAAGGCACAATATAAATATGCAAGGCACAATATGAATATGCAAGACAAAATATAAATATGGAAGGCACAATATGAATATGCGAGACACACTATAAATATCCACGACACAATATAAATATGCAAGACACAATACAAATATGCAAGGCACACTATAAATATGCAAGGAACACTATAAATATGCAAGGCACACTATAAATATACGAGGCACAATATAAATATGCAAGGCACGTTATAAATATGCAAGGCACAAAATAAATATGCATAGCACAATATTAATATGCAAGGCACAATATAAATATGCAAGACACACTATAAATATGCAAGACACAATACAAATATGCAAGGTACACTATAAATATGCAAGGAACACTATAAATATGCAAGGCACACTATAAATATGCAAGGCACAATACAAATATGCAAGAACGTTTAAATATGCAAGGCACAAAATAAATATGCATGGCACAATATAAATATGCAAGGCACACTATTAATATACAAGACACAATATAAATATGCAAGGTACACTATTAATATGCAAGGCACAATTTAAATATGCAAGGCACAATAGTAATGTGCAGGACACAATATAAATTACAAGGCACAATGGAACATATTAAAACGTATCATTGAGTATAAAATAGATTTATATTACATGTCAATTTCATCAATAGCTTTATCTAACTTCCTATTATCAAAGACAACTAGAAATCCAAAATAATTTAATAATTAATAAATTAGCACAGTTACAGTTCCGCATTTGGAGTACCATATTCTCTCTAATGCGAATTTAAAGTTGAATATGGTCTTAACAAATCATGAGGTTTAATCCATTATTTCCGATTATTCATAGGGCAACAAAATATGGGTCAAAGTCAATCCACAAAAATTCAGATAATCGTAAAATGATTATTTGTGAAAATGTTAATTAAAGATAAAAATATGAATGTTTAAATATTTTTGGCTTGTATACTGTATTCTGCATTTGTCATGGGAAACCAAATCTTCTCTGCTTAGGATATCACTGCTGAAAATACAGAATATTTCATACTATACAATATGTACCTTTCAAATTGTCTCAACCTAATTTCCATCAATTAAAACATTATGTAGTTATCTCTAAGAGAAGCCAAACATGTCTCCCTTATATGCTTAACCGACCTCAGCTGTTTTTCAAATCTGGCACAATAGGTCTCAAAACCTATCATTTAAGCCATGCATGACTGTCAAATACAGCTCAGACTGATTGTTCAGAGGGGTGGAGGAAATGTCCAGGAACATTTTTCCATCCATTTCAACATGTGTAATAAAGTATGAATATACAAGCTCAACATTAAATTACTCAATGCAAGTGTTTCCTGAACATGTCCTCCACCTTAAGTTACTAAACAATCAGTCTTGGCTGAATTTGACAGTCATACATGGCTTACACAAGACAAAATCGTGTTGAATAACTTGCAATACCAATGTTAAACCCATCTTACTCGGTGCTTAATACTAGCAATCCTTGATTATTGATACATTTATTTGGAAGGTTATTTGAGCTTACCCTTTGGTATTGATACACTTATCTGTGGTTTTTAGGCCCGAATACTGAGGTTTATTTTTTAATTATCGAGTCTTATTCTATTGCATTAATATGTAATTGACTTTGTAACTACGGGCGTGATATGATAGGTCTATTGCATAAATGTATATATAAATATCGTGATGATTAATAAATCTAGATGAAGACTAATCATTTAAATAAACTTAGATTACATTTCATATTTAAAAAGCTCCTTATCATGTTGTTTGTGACTGAAATTCCCTAAAAATTTCCCCGCTCATCACCCTAATTTCCTGATTTCGAGAGAATATGTTTTAGAAGTGAGGCAAAGAAGGTGGTGATTGATTTTGAACTGTGAACTGCAAAATAACCAAAAAGTCGAAAAACATTCTACATTTCCTCCAAGCTTAGTCTGTTACCCGGGGGAGGGGGTACTGTTCAAATTTTTGTACAAGGGGGTGCCGCTGAGACTCAAAATATCTACCAACATCTAGGGTTTTTCTTTTAAAAATAGACCTACTTCAAATTAATTTTGAAAAAAAGACCCACCTCCGGCGATTTTTTTCAAAAACAGGACCAAGTTTTAGGATTTTTCAAAAAGTAGACCCAGTCCTAGGGATTTTTTCATCAAAATGCCTTAAACTTACCTTTATTCTGTGAAATTGTAGCGTCTTCTATTTGATTGGCCAGAGTTGCTAAGACATGTGATCTGAGTTCACACCTGCTATGCTCACTTGTGAAACTTTTAGGGCACTGGGGCTACCCCTACTTGCACATCCTCCATATTCCCCAGACCTTATACCCAAAGAATTTTACTTATATGCAGAACTCAAGCGTGACTTGAGAGGAAATACATTTGGAAGCACTGATGAACTCAGATCACATGTCTTAGCAAGACTTCAGGAAATGGGCAAGAATGGGTTTGAAAGTGTGTTTAGAGAGTGGATGAATAGGCATAAGAAGTGTATAGCTAGAGATGGACATTATGTTGAATAGCTTATTTTCATGACAATGGTACTTTAGGACTGTTTTTATATTGTATTTGTGGTAGTAATAGACCTGGGAGTATGAATAAAGCTATCAGAAAGAATAGATATGTTTTGGAAAGTTGTGACGTAAACAAACTTGCCCGCCTTTTTGTTGTTTCAGTTGCTATAGCAACCAATACTCTGGCCAATCAAATAGAAGACGCTATTAATTCACAGAATAAAGGTAAAAAGGCTTGGGCTACAAACTACGAAAATTTCATCAAGATTGATGCAATATTAAGTTAAAATATATTTCACTTTATTTATTGGACACCCTGTACAAGTTGAAAAGTCCTATGATGATTTTTATCGTGTTGTCATATAATAATTTTTTTCTTTACTATTTGTATCACTTGCCAACATACGCGGTCATCATGATACTATACTTCAGAATATCGCCGTCACCAATATTTAGACATAATAGCATTTTATTGTTTTGTTGTTTTATTGTTCTAACACAAAGGACGTATATGTTATACATCGAGTCGGCTAATTGTGAAAATATAATTTGCAGTCTAGTCAATTTTTTAGCAATAGGCCTATATTAAATTATTTACACTCTTGTCTTGTAGAATATATCATTTTGTAATTCATAGTGATCGATAGATTGGTTTTCTTTGGTCACAGTAAGCTTATATTGTATTGAGCTCTAGCCTAATATTCAAATTCTCAAAATATCATACGGACGACTTTTAAAAAGTCACACTTTTTTCGTGAATCTAATAATTATTAAACATAACTTCTATAAACATAAAATGTGCATGTGTTATATGGACGATTTTCATTTACTATCTTTTCTTTAACTTTCCCAATGGAGAAGAAGGGATAGAGTCTGTAAAATGTTGGACACAATCTTCTTCTGTTTTTAATATAGCCCTTGCATTAACATTATTGAATTAATTGTGAAAATGGTTTTATATACATCAAGGGTGGTATTATATACATAGGGATATTATATTTAGGGTATAACCACACATAAGGCACAATAAGCAAATGGGACATACATAGATCGCATATTGTTTGACAACAAAAATCAGTGTGTTTACGTTTTGTGTTTGAGGAAATAATTTGGGATTATTAACAGAAATAAAAATGTTCTTCCATTCTGTACCCTCTATCCCACCTCTTCTCGTACCCCCGGGGTTCACACAAATAATTTGGGTAGGTATGTGCAGCACGGGCAATTTTGGCTTGGGGCATAAACCATGGAACCTGGTCAATCCGAGAGGAAAAAACATGGAAAATTGTTAAAGAAAGAGCCTTTTCAAGTCAAAAATCAGTTTTTCTACAAAAAATAAATCGGTAACCTCAGTTGGCGAGGTCTGGGACAAATCACCCAAAAAGTGGATTTTGCATTACCAATAATTCAGGAAACTTACTCCCTTTGATAAATCTAAGAGGAAGTAAACATGGAAACTTTCTATCTTGTGAGGAAATTGACTTGGAAGAAATACTCAGAAATGGGGTCTTTGGCTGTGGCGCACTAATATATTAAGAAAGAATATCCAAGAATAGGAGAATGACCTACTGACCTAGGAGGATCTATTGAAGGATCACATAAAGCTAGACACTTCCAATACTACTAGATAGTACTAGTCTGATTTTGCTTCTAAAAAGAGAACGTCATATACACTTTATTTAATCTCCTTGGCTCAGACACTCGAGGCAATGAAGCCGATGGCATTGTTAGAACCTTGAGTTACAGTCTTTTATAGAGTCGCTCAAGGTAAGGTATGGTGTGTAGGCAGGAATTGGGTCAGAAGGGCTCGAGACAATACTAGAATGGTTGCATAAAACTTAGAACTTCATAACACCTAGAGTTAAGTTAAACTGTACATAATACATATACACTCCCCTCCATAAGTTTGGCAACCTTAGCCCCCCATTGAACTACGTGTTAAAGCCTCTTTACGTTTGAATTTTTATTTGCTTCACCTGCGATGAAAATACTTATAATATTGATGGTAACGTAACTTGACTTTATTTCCAATTCCTCCAAATTTTCTCATTTTTTCCTCAGTTACAATAGGTCGAAAATTGATGATAAATTTGATGAATTTTTGAAAATCAACATCTCCATGTTAACCAATGGGAAACGGTAGGTTTGCCGCAAGTCATTTGACAGAATATACATCAATCTGCGTCCTTGCAATAATACAACTTAGGTAGGCAATTAAACTTTGAAGCTTTGTAACTTTAGTATTCATCAAGTAAACTAAACACTTAGTAGACAAAAAGTTAGACAATTCAATTTTCTATATAAAAATATTTTTTGGCGAATCTTTTACTGAATAGATATCCTGATTTCTGATTTGCCCCGAACCCACCATTTCCCATTGGTTTACATTGGAAAAACGTTCTTTTAAATCATCAAATTTAACATCAATTTTCGACCTATTGTAATTGAGGGGAAAAATTGGGAAAATTTGGAGGTATTGGAAATAAAGTCAAGTTACGTTTCCACCAATATTATAAGTAATTTCATCGCAGGGTAAGTAAATAAAAATTCAAACGAAAAAGGGCTTTAACACGTAGTTCAATGGGGGAGCTAAGGTTGCCAAACTTATGGAGGGGAGTGTACGACACTAAAAACGTCTAGAATTATGATAATTGTCAAAAATAGAATAATCAAAATTAGTAAAATACAGGGTGTTCAAAAAAAACGCAACCCAAAGAAATCGCTATATCTTGGAAAATACTAATCAAATTATGTTCATATTTTCAGGAAAGAAAAAAGAGACTGTGTATGTATAGCCCTTGTTGTTTGTTAGTTGTAAAACATGATGCCTTGGACACTTGCCCAAAAGACAGTTGTACTAGCAAAATACGAAAAACGTGAATGAAAAATCACTTTATCTTGGAAAATACTAATTCAATTATGTTCATTTTTTTAGGAAAAGAAAGAACTAGAAGAGACTGTGTATGTATAGCTCCTTTTGTCAGTATAGTTTTTAAACATGATGCCTTGGACACCTGAGTCAGAGGTGACTGCCACAGCAATAAAACCAAATAACTTTCCAACCATAGTGATTTGGCACTTCAGATTTGGCACAAATTATCCTCATTCAATGTGTGGTGAATTTGTGGAGTCTCATCAAAATCATCCCAGGGACTTTACAGTCCTGGTCAAAATGCCTTCTTAAGTCTCCCTGAACTAGGGTGTTTGACTGTGATTTGAAAGCATTTCGACCATGACTGTAAAGTCCCTGAAGTGATTTTGATTTCCCTCTACAGATTTACCAAACAGTGAATGAAGATGATTTGTGTGAAGAGCCAAAACACTATGGTTAGGAGGTTATTAATTTTTTTCCGGTTGCAGTCACCCCTGACTGCGTTTTTCGTATTTTCCTAGTACACTTTTCTTTTGAGCAGGTGTCCAAGGCATCATGTTTTACAACTAACCATTTACAGGAACTATACAAACACAGTCTCTTCATTATTTCCTGAAAATATGAACATAATTGAACCAGTATTTTTCAAGATATAGCAATTTCTTTGAGTTGCGTTTTTTGAACACCCTGTATTCGTCAGTAAGGATGAAGAAATTTGAAGGTGAATTTTGATCACCGAATGTCAATTACTCAGATGCGAGTAGGTAGTTACCAGTTTCGCCACCAGGCGGCTGATTCGGAGGAAATAACATGGCAGGGTATTACAAAATTCCCTTAAACTTGAATATTCATCAGTTTTAGTGGTTCACTTTTCATATTACACTGATGCATGTGATAGTTATACAAATTAAAATATGTCCAGTAAAATAAAATCTTATCTGCCCAACACAATAAAAGATATTTCACTTTTTGTGGTTTTACAACATTGGGTCTATGGGGAATCTCCCCTACCTAGAAATCACTGAAAGAAAATTAAATTTTCAAAGTTGATAAAGTCTTTTCAAAACCACATTTCTAGATGTAATTCTACATGTAGTATCCAAATATGATACCAATTTGACTGAATTGTGAATTTTTAATGACGTAAATCAAGATTTTTTCTACTCGCATCCAGGATATTGAACTGCTGTTCAGTTAACTTTAAAGTTTAATCACCATTTCGCAAATTTTATGTTCCTTAACCTTTATGTTATCAGCTTGAATATGCAGAAAGTTCACTGTGAATGAGTTACAGTTCCCATAACTGCACGCACATACGTATGCACACTTGGACAATCCATTGTTGAAACTTTCATCAAGTCTAGCGCATTCCTTGAAGTCATCCCCATCCTGGGAAGCCGTAGCTCCGACCATGGGGTAGAAATGCTTGCAAAGTCCAGCAGATCGTAAAGGCATGAAGCTCTCAAGCGTGAAGTTATCGGAGCTGTATCCATTTAAGTCGAACCAAACAGAAGATGCGGTCATCATCTCCAGAGGAAAGCAAGTCTGCATATCGCCATCGGTGAGTTCTATTCCGTGGTATTTGAGTGTGCTTACGGTGTTACTGCACTTTAGCGTGATCCGCGGTAATCGTCGATGGATTGGCCCACTCGGCGCTGTAAAATAAATATATACAGCTGTTTTGCAGAGAACAAAAGATAACCCCCGGGGCAAACCCCAAATAACGAAGATGGACTACTACTTGCGTACAGTCAAGCATGAAATCGTTTCCATGTGAATTAGTCTGTTATAAAAAAAGATTCGTTGTATTTATTACCATCATGGTATTAGATAACCACACAGAATGAATGACAACCTTTTCATTATCTTAGAAGTAACACATTGTATTTCCTCTTTTTGGCCTCAGTGAAGATACTCACCATAGTAACATGCTGGGACAACACCATTGAGGCTATCATAGCAACAACCTCTGCGATGACATTCTTCGATCCCCACTGGTCCACATGATACCCGTGAAGAAACTGAGACGCTACATTCTCCTGCGTTAAAAATACGTTTTCAAGTAAAATTTAGTTGAACAATAAACAATTAGGCCTATTGACTTATCGGGAAGTTGACTATTTAATTATATTTTACACGGAAAACTGAGTGATTTAATTTTGGCATTTAATCAAATGGAGAGATCTAGAATGTTTTTGTTCTAAAAACAAAAATCATCGTTGAATTCAAAACCCGTCGACTTTCCCATGTGCTTCATTTTTGTAACATTGACGTCTTAGCTTAACATTTTCATATTCATGGATTCCTAATTCTTCATACTGTTCAAGATGTTTTTGTTATTCTCTTGATGAAGAAAATGAAAATTATTATACTTATTAGAGCCAAATTGATATTTATTTTATTGTGTTATTAGAATACGACTTATTTTATTTTTGGTTATTTTAAGTTTCGTATCTTATGTTGTTATTTTAATTTTGTACTTCAATTTCTACTTAATGTCTGATTTGTTTTATCTGGATGAGCCATGAAATGTCAAATAATAAAGATTTTGAAATTAATTGTTAGGTACTCATGTTGTAAGTAGTGTCATTCACTACTAAAATTATGTTATGAGGTTGTGACCTGAATTCTGGCTATTTTTATCCCGGTGTAGGGTAGGAGGTCCTATCAAATTATTTTCCTACACTCCATTGATTTATATGGTGACCTAAAAACAACTCTTTCCCTTATTATCGTATCCACAATCAGGGCCAGTAAGGGCCTTTAAGAAAGGGGACCATAATCCCCAGGGGACAATAATTTGTTTTACACCGGATTAAAATAGCTTGATTCGCTTACAACCAATCAAATTACTTCGCGCCAAAAAATTCTTTCTTTTGGCGGGCTCTAGGTGACCAAACCTTTTATTTTCACAGATCAATAAAATCACCCACCCACCACACCCACACCAGGTTTTCTCTTTTAAATTTTCATTAAATAGAACCTTTGGACGTATCTTCAGCCATTTTAGCTGAGGTGGTTGAATTGAAGCTCGAACACCAACGAATACGGGTGCTTTACATGAAATTGACAACTCAAATTTTTACTTTCGATACAAAAGAAACTTCAAATTAAGGTTTGACATACATTTTTTAAGCAAATTAAAATACATCTTTATCACGCGGTAGTATCTCTTCGGGACGTATCGAAACCACTCCGTCCCGAAAAACCGTTAATTTGAATTTAAAACCTACCCCAGTGTTTGAAAATCAAGGATTGTGAGTCTCACACTTCACCGTTTTTCTTCAAACTTGTTCCGTACAAAGCTTCACAGAAATACCTTTCAGTCGATACATTGTTTTCGTGTACAAAGTACCTCGTTTTAGCGGCGTTTTGGTCCCCAGCTGTGAGATAAAGCAAATTTTCATAACTTTCAACTGTAAGTCAAGTTATCTCGCCAGTCTTTTACCCATTCTCGCCCATAATTTCAGAATGGAATCCCATTACAACCTTCCATCGCTACGTCTTGATTTTTGGGCATCAAACGCAGCAGTTTCTAAATCATCCACACATCTCTTAAAATTTGACTAGTACGTCCCGTCATCTTCCACTACGCCCCGCCGAGGCTATCACTATACACGTAGAGTTGCATTCTAAAACAATTTGTCCATCGATGTGTCCGTTTGTAGGTTGCCATTGTCGATTCTAAATACCAATCGGATTGTGTTTTAAGATTTACCCATTCTTGTCCATTTTCAATATACCTATAATAGGGTGGTCCAAAATCTCCCTAAAATTTAGATTTCCCAATATTGCAATATAAAGATTTTAATTACTGAACAATTGAAAATATTTTTAAGAAACGTTTAAAGTGCCCTATCCTTGAAAAAATGTTAAAATGCGAAAGGATGGGTGATGTCAATTATATTATTTTCAGCATAACGTTAGAAACATGCATATCATTTTATATGGTACACGTTTCATAATGTAATCCAATGGAATCATACAGAAGAAAGGTTGACACACAACAGTTAAAATCTTTATATTACATTATCAGACCAAGTCAGTAGATGTTGTTTATATACTAATTAGTGTTGTATGATGATGCATTCTTTATATGAATCTAGAAACGTTTTTGTGCCAATATTGCTCAATTTTGATAACATCTCCGTTATTTTGAAATTAAGCGTGACAAAGTTTCCCGATGGATTTAGCTAAAAAAGTGGTGCCTGTAGGGTTATTGAAAATCATAAATGATGAAGAAAAAATACATATTCCTGAAATACAACAGTTTAATTTTGAGTTATAAACCATTTATGAAAACGGCATATTTGTCAAAATTATCAAAACTTCAAGTGAGACGCGTGGCAAAATTTCCCAGGGGTCTAGAGTGGAAATATTTGTACCAAGAGTCAATTTGTAACTAGAATCTATCAGATGATAGATTTTTGGAAAATTTTGCAGATTTGGACAACCCTAACCTATAACTTTGTTGAACCTGAAGAAACGTATCAACTTTTTGTTAAATAAAGATAGCAAATTCAGCTGTCTACTGTACCTAACTTGTACTTTTTGCTAGTACTCAGATTGATGGATATTCTGTCGTATGACATGCGACAAACATATCAAATCTCATGGGTTTACATGGGAATTTCGAATGTCAGGGCCAGAAAGGGCCGTTAGGAAAGGGGACCATAATCCCCAGGGGACCATAATTTCTTTCACACCGGCTTTGTTAGTACTTTGCCTTGGATGTCATACAGTACATTTACACTGTGGCATGATGATGAACTTAGAAAATATGTATAGTCATGACAAAATGTTCTTTGTGATATAATATTGTATAGTATCATTCTGATACGTATTACATGTTTATGTTTAGTGCATAAAATTCATAGCCAGATCAATAATTCGGAGAGAATACGCTGGACGATAGAATATTAAAAACTATAAAAACATTCTTCATAGAATTAAGCAAATAGTGTTATTATCATTTAAGTAGTAACTGCATATGAATAAAAACCATTCTGTTTAAATACAGGTAAATAAATAAATATGATGCAATGAAAATTGAAGCTTTCTGTCGAGAGCAATAGTCATCACAATAGTATAGCGTTTTTTCTTTTACATGTTACTTTTTGTACACCATTGATTGATCCGCTCTAATCTGCCCTCGGCCGATTATTTATAAATTATTTATGTTGAACATTAGCAAAACAAGATTCCAGATTTTATTGTGTTTCAAACCAGACACTTGGTTTCCTCACAAAATCAAATACAGGACAATTACATATAATTAAAGTTAAAAAGCAACATCTTCACAAACATTTAAATTATCAATTTCATGCAATCAGTTATAGTTATACTCCGTATGTATGCTAAACTTAAGACTGGTGTTAAGAATCGACCAAGGCAAACCTATGTAAAATTACACAACGATGAACAAAATGTTTTAGAATACAACTCCACGTTTGTAGTCATAGACTCGGCGGGGCGTAGTGGAAGGTGACGGGACGTACTAGTCAAATTTTAAGAGATGTGTGGATGATTTAGAAACTGCTGCGTTTGATGCCCAAAAATCAAAACGTAGCGATGGAAGGTTGTAATGGGAGTCCATTCTGAAATTATGAGCGAGAATGGGTAGAAGACTGGCGAGATAACTTGACTTACAGTTGAAAGTTATGAAAATTTGCTTTATCTCGCAGCTGGGGACTAAAACGCCGCTAAAACGAGGTACTTTGTACACGAAAACAATGTATCGACTGAAAGGTATTTCTGTGAAGCTTTGTACGGAACAAGTTTGAAGAAAAACGGTGAAGTGTGAGACTCACAATCCTTGATTTTCAAACACTGGGTAGGTTTTAAATTCAAATTAACGGTTTTTTCGGGACGGAGTGGTTTCGATACGTCCCGAAGAGATACTACCGCGTGTTTATACATTCTTAAATAACTTTAGTATTCGATGAAGTAAGTAAATTACAATTCAATAACATTATCAATTCTGATACAAGGGAAAGAGCAAAAATTCCAAATTACTTTACCTGTAAAAATTAAAGGTTTGGTCACCTAGAGATTTGTTTCAGTACTGAGGTAAGAGAGAAGAGCCCGCCAAAAGAAAGAAAGGATCTAGTGCACTCTCCATTATGATTTCCCCATGAACAAAATGAATCATGTTTAGGTGTAACATAAAGAATACTATGTCACATAATACTTTGGAAAATATTTAAGCATTTGGAACCACGTGGGCTGAGGTTGAGGTCATTAAGATCAGCAAGGGTGTATTGACTTGACATTGGATGTACTCCATTGACTTAACATATGGATACCATCAGATTCCAATGAAGGCCATTGGTTTCTATTGATTTTCACAAAAATACCAAAATACACTATGACCTGAATCGATTGCAAATTAAATAATTTCACAATATGACACAAATGGTATATCACATCAGATGTGCAAATATGAAGTTTGCAATCGATTCAGGTCATACTTCAAATTAAAAGATTATACATTTTTTCATCAATTTTTTCTTACAAAATGGCTATAGAAAAATGCTCAAAAGCAACTTTTACACTTATGAAATGCCATACAAATTTGTAAATCCAAAGATTATACTGTTATGTTTCATTAATTAATAACATATTTGGATAAGATGAAGGGATGTGTAGGATGCAAATGGATTTTGACAGGCACAAAAATACTTCCTGGTTTGGAATCTATGCCTCTACACTTCATGATTGAATTATGACCCTAATAAGTGGCCCATACATCAATACAGTGCTCAATATAGGTCAACAAGATACTTGTCTGCATACAAATGAAATAATAAAAGCAAGTGACGTGTAGCAAAAAGGTGGCGCATTTGTTTTTTAAGGGTATCGCGTGAATGTAACTTTGATTCCCCGGATTTTAAGATCATAATATTCTAATTAAAGTTATATACCATTTTAAAGCTGTTTCGATGAGGTTTTTAGATCAACTACACTCCGTTCACGATTCTTGCGCGTTCTTTTTTAAAAAAGAGTTTTTTGCCAAAACATCTGGCAAATATCCCCTGTTGATACGTTACATTTTGAATTATTTTTCGTCTTTAAACGCTCATAACTCAAACAATATATGACTATTATACTTATTTTTCGTCTTGATAAAGGTAGATGGAAGTTTTATTTCAAAGGATGAATTTTAGTAAGTTTCCATATTGTGACGTCATAGAGTTTGAAAAATAGAATCTGTTGACAGCCACCCTTTTTGCTCATTTTTTGTTACCTTAAACTTTTAAGATGTACATTAAACAAAAAATACGAGATCAATTTTTAATAAATCACACATGATTATTTTGCTCTTAACTATAGTTTATTAATAAATAGTTGATTTTGTTCGCAAAAGTATGTGTTTTCTGTTGTATGTGGAAAAGTGGAGGATGAAATGTTTTCAAAATTCATTAAAATAGGGCTAATTTACGCCATTCGCCTATTTTCCAGCACAGCAACACGTATATTTATTTCACCTAAAATATCAATTGATTCGTGTTTTATGATGCTCCTATCCCATTGTTATTACATATACGATATCAGAGCTATTCGCCTTAAATATTTTGAGATATAGAGGCAAATGTTGCGGACGAAAGGATTTCCATATGTGTACATTTTTCTCAAAAAACGTCACATTCTGTGGTGTTAAAAAGCGACAATGTGTAACAATGCGTGCGCGACCTTTTTGCGACACGTTAGTATGCTCATTTTGAAAAATCATATGAAAAATTTTTTTCATGGGGAGATCATAATGGAGTGCGCACTACTTCCTTTTGGCGCGAAGTAATTTGATTGGTTGTAAGCGAATTAAGCTATTTCAATCCGGGATAAAAATACATTAAAATCTTCAGTGATACAGTCAAATAAAGTTGACGTTTGGCCTGGTAGCAATTAGATCATACCATCAATGATTTCTGCTGTGAGTCTCTGATTGTTACCACGTACAAGAGATTCGGCTCTGTCATTGTTTTCATCATTTATGACCCGAATTCCGTGCCCGCCATATCCATCAAGTGTTACACCGCCACATGTATCAATCCATCCATTCGATGACGACATAGATTGAAACTGAATCAAATCACCTTGGTATACAGGTGTCCCTGAAGAAATAAGACAATTCTTACTGAAGTGGGTTAATTAGTGTGCATCATTTATCAAAACCTAACGAAATCCACAAAGGTGAATATCCTCAAGCTCACTGCATCATTTCTAGAAAAAATGTGCACACATCAGGCCCGTAGCAGGATTTGCCAAGGGGGGGGGGGTCACTGTTTAAAAAAAATCCAGCGGGTTCACTTTTGACAGTTTTGGTCCAAAATGGCCAAAATCACTTTAAAAGTGCTCAGAATGGTGAAAAACTGCATGATTTTCGGTTCTGTGGTGTAAAGGTTAGCACTCTGGACTACTGATGCCAAGATCCTGGGTTCAATCCCAGCTTGCGGCGACTGGAGCCAGCGTATGCTAACTAGATATAGTACACCAGAGAAGATAATTACTAGAGTGATACTAACTCGATGAAAGGCCTGTGCTGGCTTGAACTGTCTGTGTTCCTAGCCAGAAAAATGAAAAAAAAAATTGGCCAGGGGGTTCGACCATCGACCCCCCCCCCCCCCCCTCCCCCTGGCTACGGGCCTACACGTGTTGGTATCGCTGCCACCACTTCACTTCGCTCTGGAGTTTTTATTTACTTTTTTTAAGACCGAAGAAAAGTTAAATAACTCGGTCAACTTTGGATATTTTGCCTTGAAATTTCAGAACTATTTAGTTCATTTAATATGTATTTTGTTGTGAAATATTGATGGTTATCTACTAGTGAGTCAAAAACTACAGTTCTTAACAAAACATGCTCCAAGTGAACATGTCCGCAGTCACCTTCGAATCAATAGGGACCGATGATTCCATGTTTGCGTATTGCCACCAAGACAGTGAATTTTTCAGAATGCAATAGACGCTTCACTTCTTCAGGAAGATGTAAGTCCCAGTAGCAGCTGTTCTTCAAATCAAGTTGTTCATTCAAAGGAAATGTGTGTAGGAGGGTCATCAACAACTTCGTTCAGCCGATTCAATTGTGCATAGAGATGAGAGGTGCCCACTTGGAGCATGTTTTGTAAAGTGCTGCAGTTTTTGATTCAAAAGACAGATTACCATCAAACTTTCACAACAAAATTCACATGGAATGAACTGAATAATTCTGAAATTTCAAGGCAGAATATATATCTAACTTTTCTACGGTCCTGTTTTTGGACACTTCGTTCAGCCGATTCAATTGTGCATAGAGAGGAGAGGTGCCCACTTGGAGCATGTTTTGTAAAGTGCTGTAGTTTTTGATTCAAAAGACAGATTACCATCAAACTTTCACAACAAAATTCACATGGAATGAACTGAATAATTCTGAAATTTCAAGGCAGAATATATATTTAACTTTTCTACGGTCCTGTTTTTTGGACACCATGTACCTTCATTATGAAGTGACGTCGTCTTGTTGAACTGCCATATCAGCCATTTATAAGTATCGGTATGCTGATCAAAATCTTTGGGGTCTATCATTATCGGCCCTGAGTGAGGATAATTATAGCACGGGCCGGACTCGCCGCAATGAGCAAGAAAGAAACCGTCATGCTTGGCTCGTATGTAAACTGCATCTCCAGAATGCAATGCAGAGTGATTCGTTCCACCCGTTATCTGAAAACAGAAAATTAGCAATATCTTACTTTAACCTTCAAAATTTTACTTTTCTGACCTCTTCAGAAGTTTTTGATAATGAAATTAAAATGTGGACGTCTTCAGCCTCACTCTGTAGTATCTGATACTCTACCTGACAAAAGATGGGAAGGGGAGTCTTTTGAAAGCTTGGACCCATTTATCATATGATGCAGTAATGAAGTTAATGCAGTAATGAAGTTAATGAACACATACGATCTAATGATATGCACTTCCAAGGTCAATTTTATTACCTCTGAGATGGTGAAAGCAAAGCTCTTGGGATTGCTCGCTCTTAAAGCGGATGCTGCCCTTATGATATGTACGTACAAGGTCAATGTTTTTACCTTTGAGATGGTGAAAGCAAAGCTGTTGGGATTGTTTGCTCTTAAAGAAGATTGTTCTGATTCCGTTAAACCGCACGCGTATATCTTCTTTCCATTTGTGATACAGGTCAATGGGCTGTTGGATGGTCGCAATATATATTTGGTGCCTTCGATTCTGAACTCTAAGCGATCGCCTTCATGTAGGCTCCCTGGAACTATAACAAGATAAATAAATAATCGCGTATTACACTAAAACCTGTATTTTAAAACACTGGACTAATCTGAAAATCTCCCAATCTGAACACTTTTTCCAACCCATTTCCTTCCATTGGCTGCTATGCTAAACACTTGAAATTTGATCATGAACACCTCATGAACAGTGAACAGTCAGATGTGAAAGATTAACCCATGAACAGTTTTCCTTAAATATCACGTTTTCATACAAAATTGCTCAAATATTTTATATTAATCGCTGTTTTCTTATAATATCCAAAATTTGGGAAAAACATTATAATGATCTTAAAAATAATTTGTCTTTCTAACATGACTTATAAATTCATGTAACTCAGATTTCAAATTATTGGAATGTCATAAAGATGGTCAATAGAACTTTAAATATTGATGTGTTCCTATTTCTTCAAAATTCAGAATCTCGCGAATGCGGAAAACTCAAACTGTGAACACTTCCTGATCAGAACGCTTTTAGCCGATTCCAATGGCGGTCAATTAACAGGTTTTGCTGAATATACGATTACAGAATTCGTTGTTTATCGTTTTTGTTTATTGGACAAGATAAGTCTTGTTTTAGAATAGTATATTAACAATTTATTGGCTTTTAACCAATCATCCATAAGATCTTCTCTATAAGAGGTTTTAAATCTTTATCTGACAGCATCGGAGACCTTAAACATGTCATTTACATATGAATAAAGTTTGCCCAAGGACCGAACCCTGGAGTACACCTCATGATATACTTTGTAAATCAGAGTTAACATTGTCATATGACACAGTGATTGCACCTAATACTCCCTCTTTGGGGTCATAGCCACTATAACCTGTATATATGTTACATTGATTTTAATAAAAAAATAGGATTTAAAGAGATAAAAAAAAGTTCAGCCTCTTGTATTCCATAAAGATTTAATTCATCTAGAAGAATTTTATGACTAATGGTGTCAAAGGCTTTAGATATACAAAGTGGAGATTCATTGCTCTCTAGTAGTGCTATCATATGTTTTCAACAAAAGTTAAGATTGCCATTAAAGTAGAGACGTTTTTCCGAAAACCATATTGATGTATATATAGTACTATTCTAGTATTTAATTTTCTGTGCTAGAATTTCAAAGCCGATATTAATAAGTTTTTCAAAAAGTTTGAAAAACTGGGAAGACTGTAGTTTGAGAAATTGTCTTTTTTATCTTTTCTCCTTTTTCAATGCAACTATTTTATAAATTCAATCATGACAGTGTGCGCCTGACCCGGCTACGTATAGCACAGAGTTTATACTGGCGGATTAGACTAGTTCATTTTTTTATGTATGTGAAAGCTTTTTCTTATTTGCGTTTTTTCGTTTAGTACGGTTTTGTTATAATTGCCGAGGTCATATAACCGGGATAAAACAATGATTATCGTTGACTGCCCACACACAAAACATACGTTGAGTGAACAGTGTTATTACAAATAACAGGCTTTAGAATACAAAGCGTAGTGTGATAATAAGCTGTACACTACCACTGCTGCATGTACATATTACTAATTTACTAGGGCTCCCAAAGAGTGGATAGGGAGGTTGTGTTTGTCACTTTTAAAGATGTCATTTTAAAAGCAAAAAAGGCTCCAAAACGTAATAAAATATGTAGTTTGGATGTTCATTTATGTCTGTGGATTATATTTTATACCACAAACACTTATAAATACCTGAAATTTGCAATAAAAGTGCCCAAAAATTGATGTTTCGAAATTCCCCATTTTTCCTGTATCGCGCTAGTCACGTGACCCGTACGCGTAGCAGGCAATGCCTAGTATTACAGATATTACAGTACATATTTCAACATGTTCAATATGGCAAACATCAGCGATTCTGACTCCCGGGTTCTGGGAAATTGCTATATATAAATCGGCGAGAGGGTGTTATTTAAGGAGGACAATTTAAGGAGGGGAAATATGTCCAAGTATGCCAGTAAAAGAGCAGATATGGACTTTAGACAAGTACTATGACGGAGAATCAACTAAAAAAATGTGCGTTCTGGAATGAAGACCCGTTGCCATTGACTGAGAATCCCAGCGATCCTATAGCTTAATCCTACTCAGTTTGAATTTAGACGCGGAAAACAGGTTATGAAAACGGGCTCTCTGCAAAGTTATCAAATTTAGAAAATATGGATCTTGTTTTTGAGTGGCTTAACAAGCATTCGGATACAAGACTTGGCGCTATCTCTTGTCAAATACACGCAGACTTGCAGTAAATTGGCCATTGCAAATTGCAAAATCAGATCGTCAAATTAATCGCTTCGTTTTTAAACGTATGCTTCATATCTTCATCCAAAACTTTAGGATTCGATAGAGATAAGTTAAAACTTGTACAGGAAGAAATGGGAGATCCTACCTTAATTTAGAATCGCTGATTTCTCTGGACAAATTCCGAGAAGAAATTGTTCAACATCGCGATCAGCTCAGACTAAACTTACATGTCGTGCATGTCACTCTGAACTCACGTGATAAAATACGGCATTTTGATTGGTTACTACTCGTGTTGTCATGACGCGAAAAACAATAGTAAACACTGAATATGTTAATGAACTGTCATATATGGAGCAATTGTCTTTCTGATTGGTTAACTTTACACGCCTCCTAAATGAATATAGTAGTCGTAGTAAATGATTCATTGATAACTCTGAAAGTGGGCGTGACCAGCTTTATTTTGACACCAAATTCAAGATGTTTCAAATAAAAATGGCCTCGCAAGACGAGGTTGAAATATCGGCAGTTTGATACTGATATGGTCTACGATAGATCAAAATTGACTGCCCCGCGTCATATGTCACGTGAGCCTATATTTGTTGAAAAATGAAAGAGATGGTGACACTTTTTAATCTTAAGTTAATACCAATATTACAAACACATATCTATTTTTTTCATTAAATATTTATTTCTTCATTATACATACATTTGTTTTACACTGCATTGATTTATTTTTGCAAAACCTTTGTTATTAGATCTTTAAATTTTACATTTCAAAATTGTCATTTTACATGTCATAATTTGTTGGTTTCATTCGTTTAGCCAATCAAAACATTGTAAAACAATAAATTGTCTGTTACGTACAATCAATTTTGTTCAGTTTTGATTAGTTGTCAGAATAAAGTTACGTTCATCTGAATCCATGTATCAAAACAAAAATTCCTATTTTGACTTCAAAATACTTCAGTGAGATGAAGGCTCGGAATTGTCACATGCAATAACTTATTGTCGTATTCGTTATTTTATCTTCTCGATAGTAGCATTTAGTCGCACATTTGATGCCAGGTCACCTTGTCGCGCACCTCTTGGGGAACCCCACATTTATGTGTGTACTCATGGAAGTAAATTCTCCTGTGTAGCCGAGAGCCACAAACTTTTCAACAGGTTCGAAATGACCAATTTCTCTCATATATACTCTAAATATTTTATTATTTAGCACCTACAAAGTAGGTAGTTTTTTGTTGATATATTGCATTCACTTTTAAAACAGTTGCATTTACTGCAGAAGTTAAAAACATATAAGTACATATTATAATGTATTGTAAAAAACGATACCGTAATAGGCTGACGACGAAGCCACGTGAGTTAAACATGCTAGTCCCATCCAAACGACGCTGTGATCGAACGCCATCTTCCTTTATTTCTTACGTTGAGAGAGTAGAACTTACGGCTTTAAATGTTTTCAATCTTCATCATACTATCGAAGACGCGATTGTCTTCCAGGCTTCACACCTTCCTAGAGAATGCACTTTATCACCCAACAAATTAAATATTTACGAGAAATTATGAAAAACAATCGCCGTCGTAGAAATGCTGTTATTTTTATCAACATATGAAATATTTATATGGGATGTGCCTAGCGGAAAACAATTGCAGTCGCATGGTGTTTTATTAATTTGTTTGATAAAACAATCTATGAATTTAAAAAGAGTTCATGTACCCAAATCCCACAACTGGATCAATAATCCATTCAATCGTCGCGTGTGCGGTGCTCACTTACACCCCCAATCCGCACTCCGAAATCACGGTACCGTTTTCGCGGTAGCGTACGGTATATTAAGAGTATGGTACCATACGGTATCATTGGAGATTGACGGTGTACAATAGCATGATAACGTGTCCATGTAACCCCCATATTTTCTCTTTGAAAATATCAACTTGCTAAGTTTTCTTATTACTATTATTCTTTGTTTTTTAAACAAAAAATCAATTGAAATACAAGGGTTGTTCGAAAAGTTTTGGAATTTTGGAACTTTATGAGGTATAATGTACCAAGAACCTCAGTAGGTATGGAATACATCTGTTATGTACGGTCGGTTTTGGATACAAGGTTTATCTCTCGGGAAATATGAGTATTTCCCCTGGGATTAACGCTGTATCCAAAACCTCCCAGCACATAACCCTTATATATTCTAACTGTTCAAAAAATGAGACATTCTGAATTTTGTGTATAAACTGAGGGCAGTTTTTTAAAACTAAAATAAAATTAAGAAAATTCTTTGAGACAAAAATGTTTGTTTTATAAAACGGAAAGTGGTGTCAATGCTGTAAAAATGAACATGTAACACAAATGTAAATATTATATTTATTTATTATAATATAAAATATTCAGTAAAAGTATAAAGTCAGTCATGTCAGTAACAATACACTATATATTATGCAAGGCACATTATAAATATGCAAGGGACAATAGTAATGTGCAGGACACAATATTAATATGCAAGGCACAATGGATTAATGAACATATTAAAACATTTACTATCATTGAATATAAAATAACATTTCATGTCAATTTCATTAATAGCTTTATCTAACTTCCTATTATTAAAGACAACAACTAAAAATCCAAAATAATTTGAATGTACCTCGTATATCCCTTACTGATGAATCTCTCTAATAATTTCTCCTGTGTTGTTTATGTTCCATATCAAAATGTTGGACATCAACAGAGTATATTTCTGCATTTGGAGTACCGTATTCTCTCTAATGCATGCGCATGCGACTTTTAAGTTGAATAAATTTTCAAGAAAACATGAAATTAAATCAATTTGTTTTGATTATTTACACAAGATATATATTGATGATCATATTTAATGCAAAAAATACAAGAGCTGTAGAGTATATAAACCTCAGTGATAACAACCTGTTATTGGTGATATTTTTTCTAATTTTTTTGGATGTGCGCTTATTAGAGTCTCTCAATATCTCAACCTTTTAACTTTCAATTTGGAAAAGTGAACTCATTAGAGAGAATGTGGTATATATAATGCTAGATACAATAAAGATAAATTCTAAACACTATACACCAAATTCTAAAGTATATAATAAGGCAATATATGTAATACAATGTCATGTCATTTTAGTCTAATTCTCATCTTATAATGATGTAGGGATAGTTGGTGTCATGGTATGACTAGGTTTGAAAATGTTTTTAAAATTTCTCAAAATGAGCACTCCAAAAGTAAGAGATTGTATTTGTACTATTGTACATAAAATAACAATACCATATTGTACACATACAATAGATTCTAAAATTGCACATATATGATTCTCAATATACTCAAGAGTTCCCATTCTACTGTTCACATACCTCATAGTAAAATACACTACACACTGGATCCTCCTTGTACACTACCCCTACACTACATGTATTCTGTACATAAAAAAACCCATTCAGACTACACTACAATATATACAATAAATCTTGTATACAATAAATCATGTATACAATAAATCATGCAACAATGCAGAGGTAGAAATCTCTCAGTTTTATGGATTTAGCATATAATATAAAATCTACTCTTCCAATATAATTTAAATCATTTATAAACACAGTTACTAACCAGACTGCTTCTTACCATGAGCATGTTAAGGGGATCATGCTGCCCACCATTTTGGGCCAATATATAGGTGGCAGCAGTAGTAAATAAACACAAATTGATTGGCCTGACCTCTTTATTTATAATTATTTATATCGGCCTTTAGCCTATGATAAGCCCCTTGCCAAGGCTATGATACCACAAAGCAAGCTCCAAGGCTATGATACCACAAAGCAAGCTCCAAGGCTATGATACCACAAAGCAAGCTCATTGTAGCATGTGGTCTGGCCAGTACTTCTGTATAAAATGACAATACAATATTTAAAATACAGCAGTAGATATATGTACTTCTGTATAAAATCACAATACAATATTTAAAATACAGCAGTAGATATATAAGGCCATGTATAATGTTAATAAGTGTTAAAAACATCAACAATGATTGAGAATATCTGAAGAAGATTTAGAAATAAATCGAAATTTTGTATTCTCAATCATTGTGATGTAAAGGGTGTTCAATAAGTACTGATAAAAATGCTGTAACTTTTTTATTCTTTCTTTCATAGATCAGACTAATTTTTCTAGTGAACATAGTTGAGTATTATAATGATATACTGTGAATAAATAGAATACAGTTAAAGGTTTCATAATACATGTACAATGTATCATTCGGTGGTCTCAACAAAATATTTTTTCCTGAGTGTTCAGTCCCACTGAGCTGAGGGACAAGGTTGTTGAAGAGCTTCAAAAGATTTACATTAGCTTACAACTTGACATGGTTTTGGAAGAGATCTTATAAAGATTTACATTAGCTTAAACGTAACACAGTTGTGGAAGAGCTTTTCTTAAAAGTTACATGCAACTTACAATTTGACACAGTCATCGAAGAGCTTCTTCTAAAGATTGAGATGCCTTAGCTTACAATTTGACAATAAAGATTCATAAAGATTTACATGCCTTAGCTCACAATTTGACATGTTTGTGGGAGAGCTTCTTACAAAGATTTATATACCTTAGTTTACAATTTGAAATGGTTGTGGAAGAGCTTGTTATAAAGATCTACATGCCTTAGCTTAGAATCTAACACGGTTGTGGAAGAGCTTCTTACAAAGATTTACATTAGCTTATGATTTGACATGGTTTTGGAAGAGATTCTTATTAAGATTTACATTAGCTTACAACTTGACATGGTTTTGGAAGAGCTTCTTACAAAGATTTACATTAGCTTACAACTTGACATGGTTTTGGAAGAGCTTCTTACAAAGATTTACATTAGCTTACAACTTGACATGGTTTTGGAAGAGCTTCTTACAAAGATTTACATTAGCTAATGATTTGACATGGTTTTGGAAGAGCTTCTTACAAAGAATTACATTAGCTTATGATTTGACATGGTTTTGGAAGAGCTTCTTACAAAGATTTACATTAGCTTACAACTTGACATGGTTTTGGAAGAGCTTCTTACAAAGAATTACATTAGCTTATGATTTGACATGGTTTTGGAAGAGCTTCTTACAAAGATTTACATTAGCTTACAACTTGACATGGTTTTGGAAGAGCTTCTTACAAAGATTTACATTAGCTTATGATTTGACATGGTTTTGGAAGAGCTTCTTACAAAGATTTACATTAGCTTACAACTTGACATGGTTTTGGAAGAGCTTCTTACAAAGATTTACATTAGCTTATGATTTGACATGGTTTTGGAAGAGCTTCTTACAAAGAATTACATTAGCTTATGATTTGACATGGTTTTGGAAGAGCTTCTTACAAAGATTTACATTAGCTTACAACTTGACATGGTTTTGGAAGAGCTTCTTACAAAGATTTACATTAGCTTATGATTTGACATGGTTGTGGAAGAGCTTGTTACAAAGATTTACATGCCTTAGTTAAAATTTGAAACGGTTGTTGAAGAGCTTTATCGAGTTTTTTTGGGTTATGGATAGAATCTTTATAGATTTTTGAGAAATAAATTGTATTAAAATTGTCAGGTATTTTATATGTTACATAATACTGTAATATAATATAAATTTTAAGTTATATAAATTTTGTTTACTGGACTTATTTCAATGTATCCTGTAAATTGTGTTCAAGAGACCAATAAAATATGATATAATGTATACGAACTAACCCACTGAGTTATTATATGCTATTTATAATATATAAATTGAATTGAAAGTCCCGGAGAACATTATCGGAGTAAACTGTAAAACTAGCTTAGATTTTGTCTCAAACTCATTTTTACATTATGCATCAAAAGATTCAGGATTACTAAAAATAATACCACCAAATTCAAAATAATTTTCTCTGTCTTGTGAAGATAGTGTCCAACGTGTAGTGACCAACTGACACAGCATTGACAAGATTCGAAGTTTGAGTAACCATGTTATACGTACAAGCATACTCTCCAATCAAAGCCTTCAAACAGACATCAGTTTTACACATTGACGACTCATTTCAGCTGCACAAGAAAATTCAAAAGGATTCCAATTCCATCATAATTTAGTTTTTCCAAATTTTGTGAATTGCATTATTTTGTATGCAAAAATACGAATAACCCTCAGTTGTGTTTATTCGAATTGTTATTAACGGCAACACCATTTCCATTTGAAACTTTACCATTCATGGATCCTGGATTCTGTATTTTCTTATATGTGTAATAATCACTCTTTAAAAGCCGCCAAAATAATACTACATTTATAATTGTCATAATTAATACTGATATGACTAGACACCAGTAATACAAAGCTGGAAATCTAGTTTTGCTGTTATATGTTCCAACCATGACTTTCAATACAACACCAAATCTGAATATTACAAATGTGACAACGTTCAACACCGAGTTACATCTAAATACCCAATGATCGATGCTGATCTTTTTGGCAAGTTTGAGTAGTTTCCTCCCATGCAGAAAGATGGAGTTGTATTCCACCATCAACACAAATGTGGTATAACCAATACATTGGTTTGCTGCCATGTGATACGAGAAAATTGAAATCACCTGAAAATAAAAAATAAACAAAGTAATTTGTATAGTTCAGTAAAACTTGTCTCATTAGAATGCCAAAGTGTTTGGATTAGCAGGTGTTCAATTTTCAAGGTTTCTTAATATGAAGTCAATTGGAACAAAATTGTCAATTGAGAAAAAATGTTTGAATCGAGAGGTGTTCAGATGTACAGGTTTCACTGCATAAACTATATTCAAATTGATACATTTTGTAAAAGGGAAATAGTTGGAAGTTGTAATTTTGAAACTCTAATGGGAATGATGTAACATTTCACTTAAAATGTCAAAATTTCCACTTAAATCAACTCAGCATGAGAAAATTGTGCTTACCACCAAATGATGTAGGCAAACCTCCCAGTCCTTAAGGGCCTGACCACTTTGTATGTAGTCTATAAGGTCAAAGATGAAATAACCTGAAATCGTAAGAATTGTTTCATTATCAGTCTGGCATGTCTGGGGGCCATTAACAGAAACTTCCTGAAGTTAGGATTTCCTAATTCTTAATTCATAACTTTACGAAGTTTCTGTTCATAATACAATGCCCTGTATAATACAATGCACTTAAAGCATATTTGTAATTGAATGTAAGATACTTGGCATGACAAAAGGGTTTTATATATCTGTCTATAATAGCTATGCATTATAGAACTACATATGATTGTATAAGCAATCCCAATTTCATGTTACTATGGGGTGGCATATGTAAAATTTACATTAATATCACCAATTCAAAACCATGGTTTGAAAGCCCATAATTTCCAATATTGTCTACTCTAGTAGATACATATCCCCAAAATGTGTATATATTACATTTTGGATACTCTCATCAACTGATGTAGCCTCTTGAAAATTCTTCAGTGAATCCAAAACTTATTAAATTTTTGGTCCAAACTATATATTATTCTCAGACTTATAAGGATGTTATGAGGCTTTAAGACTTACCTGTAGAGAAAGTGACCAGCAGAAAGCTATCCATAGCATTGTGGGTGATTAGATAATTTAAGATTTACCTGTAGAGAAAGTGACCAGCAGAAAGCTAACCATAACATTGTGGGTGATTAGATCATTTAAGACTTACCTTTAGAGAAAGTGACCAGCAGAAAGCTAGCCATAGCATTGTGGGTGATTAGATCATTTAAGATTTACCTGTAGAGAAAGTGACCAGCAGAAAGCTAACCATAGTATTGTGGGTGATTAGATCATTTAAGATTTTCCTGTACTGAAAGTGACCAGCAGAAAGCTAGCCATAGCATTGTGGGTGATTAGATCATTTAAGATTTACCTGTAGAGAAAGTGACCAGCAGAAAGCTAACCATAGTATTGTGGGTGATTAGATCATTTAAGATTTTCCTGTACTGAAAGTGACCAGCAGAAAGCTAACCATAGCAGTGTGGGTGATTAGATCATTTAAGATATACCTGTAGAGAAAGTGACCAGCAGAAAGCTAACCATAGGATTGTGGGTGATTAGATCATTTCAGATTTACCTGTAGAGAAAGTGACCAGCAGAAAGCTAACCATAGGATTGTGGGTGATTAGATGATTTCAGATTTACCTGTAGAGAAAGTGACCAGCAGAAAGCTAGCCATAGCATTGTGGGTGATTAGATCATTTAAGATTTACCTGTAGAGAAAGTGACCTGCAGAAAGCTAACCATAGGATTGTGGGTGATTGGATCATTTAAGATTTACCTGTACAGAAAGTGACCAACAGAAAGCTAACTATAGCATTGTGGGTGATTAGATCATTTAAGATTTACCTGTACAGAAAGTGACCAGCAGAAAGCTAACCATAGGATTGTGGGTGATTGGATCATTTAAGATTTACCTGTAGAGAAAGTGACCAACAGAAAGCTAACTATAGCATTGTGGGTGATTAGATCATTTAAGATTTACCTGTAGAGAAAGTGACCAGCAGAAAGCTAACCATAGCGTTGTGGGTGATTAGATCATTTGAGACTTACCTGTAGAGAAAGTGGCCAACAGAAAGCTAGCCATATCAATGTGGATGATTAGATCATTTAAGATTTACCTGTAGAGAAAGTGGCCAACAGAAAGCTAGCCATAGCATTGTGGGTGATTAGATCATTTATGATTTACCTGTAGAGAAAGTGACCAGAAGAAAGCTAACCATAGCATTGTGGGTGATTAGATCATTTAAGATTTACCTGTAGAGAAAGTGGCCAACAGAAAGCTAACTATATCAATGTGGGTGATTAGATCATTTAAGATTTACCTGTAGAGAAAGTGGCAAGCAGAAAGCTAGCCATATCAATGTGGGTGATCAGGTCATCAAACATACTTGGATGAGTATAGCAGCTGAAATAGATACATAATATACATTATATGATAACCCATGCATGTATATATTAACAATGCAAAAGTGGCTGGAATCCTGAGAAAGAGTCGAAGGCATGCGAGGCAAATCTAGGAAATCCAGGTTTTGGAAAAGCAAGATTTACTGTTTCTTTCCATTGACACATGTGCGAAACTACATTCATAATTTATACGACAGTGAACAGGAGGTTTACAGTCAAACCCGGGTGCGCTTATCCTTTATATAAATGTTTGTTTCACGGAGAATGGTGCACTAGGGTTCAAGGCCATTCCGAACAACACATACACGTGTTTAATGAGGCCACAAAATTTAGAACGTTTACTTAACCCTTAAATGTTTTTGTTTTTTACACCCTCTAAAGGTTTTTGGGGTCCGTTTGGACCCCAATATACATTTTGCAATTACTTTGCAACCAGAGAAGCTTTTTTCATTCTGACTTCAGTTGTACATAGGTTAATCTATTACCTTTCAGAATATATATGCATTATTTATCATGAAAGCATGGAAATATGTGTAAACCTAATCATAAGGAGTCAGGTGTTCTAGCATTTTGTAACACTTTGTAGCATTTATATATAACACTGTATTAATTGAATATGTTTCAGTGATAGTGATGTTCTTTGGCCTCAGGTAGCACAAAAAGTCATGATGCGATTTATATCTGGTTTGTTTTATCTGAAAGGAATTGAATTAATTGAGGATTAGATGGAATTTCATATTGATAGAATGATGATTTCTGATATAATTATTGCAAAGAATGAGCTCTGGGGTCCCAACGGACCCCAAAAACCATTTAAGGTTAGAATGGTATCTACCAATTCGTTAAACACATAAAAACAGTTCTTTAAAAGTGGTTTAAAATATGTAAAGTCAGGAGACCCCTTGTACTCATTCTATCTCAATTTTGACTATAATAATGGCAGAGGATGAAAAAAACATTAATTCAAAAGTAGACCCTGTCTTCTTGTTAAGAAAACCCTTTTTTCGTCATGTGATAACTTTTAATGAAATGAAGGTGCACCGAAGTACTCTATGGCAAAGCTAGTCAATATATCCATTCTGATACACTGCAAAAGGAGTTCACAGAATACGACGCAGGTTAGGGTTAGGGGAGGGTGTCACAGAGGGGGTGGGTCTAAAAAGAGGATGGCTTACATAGGTGGGGGGTTGTTACAGGGATTGGTGATAAAAAAGAAATAGTGTTACAGAGGGGGCGTCAAACAAGAGAATGGTGTTACAGGGGTTGGTGACAAAAAAGGGGAGGGAGTCACAGAGGGGGCAGTCAAACAACAAACACAGTGTAACAGGGGGGGGGGGTGTTACAGGATTTAAATACATTCGCCTATAACCATCCTCCAATGTCATTACATTGGATGATAATAGGCAGATAATTTGCAGAGAAGCCTTTTATGCAAAGGGAGATTTGGATAGTGGCAAACCTGGGCTATGAGGGTGCAGCACAGCCTAAGCCAACGAGTGGTTCTGGGAAACCTGGGCTGGAATACAGAGACACTGGAAGGTAATTGGACATATCGATAAATGTCATTTATATAACACACCCAACCTGAAGTGTGGTCATGAAGAACTCTGGTTTTTGAAGAAAAATGTGCATGGCTTATAGCAACAAATTTCAACTTTCCTTAAAATTGAATGGCAAAAGACAAGGCCAAGCAAGCGGTGGGTTTTGGCAGGTCCTCCGTCCAAGAAATTTTGGAAAAATGAGATTTGATTGAGTGCTTTTTCAGGTAATGTAGACCTATTATATACACTTTCAAATTTGGAGGAAAAAGTATTTTCATAGGAAAAACATGAGCTTTAGGCTTAATTTTGAAACCCTTGCTTGACCCATGGACGTCAAGTAAGTTTCTGGCGAAAGCCGGAGCATAGATTATTTAAGAGGACTGGAAACAAGAATGACCTACCTTTTTATTTCCTGAATCTTGCCTGAAATTAGCTCATCTTGGTGACTGTAACCTGTATTATTAATAGAGTCTCTTTGTATCGCATCTGCCTCAATTTTAAAGTTTTAGATCTATTGGTATTTTTAATATGATTTCACTGTTTTTGTGGACTGGACGATTCAGCCAAGCAAATGGCAGCTGACCTGTTCAAAGTACTTTTAGTACTAATTATCGCAAAGGACAATAATTTTGGAAACAATATTATACTAAATAGATTACTATAAGCATCTAAGGTAGGTAAAACTAGATGAACCACTGAGTCAATACAGTTGGGGACATAAATAAATGACAGGTGGATTTGCTGAAGTGAGGATTTCCCATGTTAAAAATAAGAGAATTTACAAGAGGCCATACATCAGTGGATGAGATTATACAAAATGTAAAATATACAAATTTTAAGGGATATGTATCTAGACAATATTGGAAATTATGGGCTTTCAGACCACCATAATTAGGAAATGGTGATCGAAAATCGACCTGTCATTTATTTTTGTCCCCAACTGTAGTGATAAATAGGCCAACACGAGATGGCAGAATTGAAATAGACTGCCATCTTGTTTCCAGTCCTCTTTATAATCTATGCTCCAGCTTTCGCCAGAAACTTACTCGACGTCCGTGGCTTGACCCCCTTCTCCCCCTACAAATAAATCCAGATTTGTATTCAACTCAACATGGTCAGACTTTGGTCAATTTTTTTCCTGAAATTCATGAAGAGTTTAAGCCATGAATGTGTGGCTGGACCAGAGTTCCTTTCGACAACAATTAGGCCTAAGATTGGGCGTGGCACATCGATACGATGAATACTGCTTCAAGTGTACATTGGATTGCCTTTACAGAGAGCAGCTGTCAATCATGGAAAACCGTGACTTACCAGTATGTTATCCAGAGTGAACATATGACAGAGTGAATCCATGATATCAATATGTTCTTCCATTTCCAATGATCGCTTTCCCTCACAGCAGATGGACTTCCAAAGGAGACAACAATTTTGTGAACTATTTGGAAAAACAAGAATGATGAAACTACACCATAGAGGATATATTTTGATTCGATATGTTCAGCAGGATTAGTCCCATGAGATTCTATATCCATAGTGTTGTATTTGAAGAGTCATCCGAGTATTTCATAAAAAAAGTTTTTGATTCCAAATTTTTGGCACCGCTGACTGTCACGTGACTCTACACTAGGAAATACGAACAGCATTAGTTTACTCGAAGCTTTATCACTTCCTCACCAGATCTTATCAATAACAGATGGAAAATGATTCCAAGTTTATTCTTGACGGGTATTTACATGCATGTATTTGTGTATTTGACTATAATCTATTAAAATGTGTTTAAAAATTGTGCATTAGTGATGTTATTTAGAACAATACAGTCTGTTCATAAAATTAATGCATCAATTAGTGAAGGTAGAACTCCAGTAATACAAAATAACTCCTTGGACTTAATTACTTTATGATGCATTGCAATTGCAAGACATGGGTATTGCCATGTCTATGTCAATATTCTGCAAAATGTTTGTAAGCCAATTTAAAGAAGATATATAATTTAGCAGTGATAGAAGTTGAAAAGAATATAATTTAAAACCTTTAACATTTAAAAATAGATCTATGGTTTCGACTCATTTAAAAATTGAACAGATAAGTGTGACTGACTGACTGTATCTTATCTGTCCAAATGAGTTGAAACCAAACCATAGATAATTTTTTAAATGTTTAGGTTTTAAATGTCATTGAAACATTCAAAGTATAAGAGTTTACAGCCAATTTACAAGCAATTTAAGATAAACAAATGTTATTTCTGTGCAATATGAATATATCTTGTTTATATATTATTGCACCATAGTCTTCTTATTATAGAATTCTTATTTTTCGGTTCAACTGGATGCTTTGTCTATCTCTATTACCATATTTACACTACAACGTTGGTGTTATGTAACGCCGGTGTTCATGAATACAGGTACTGTTACATCTAGCATTAGAACGGCAATATAAATTATTTTGGTGGTTTGGATTCATATGTAAACTGGGACACCTTGTAAACCTTGAAGAAAAACTTGCTCTTCCCCTATTCCCCTATTCACTGGGCAATTAAGATTAAAAAACTGGCATTACTGTGCATTGTTTTTCGAATTTGGGCATTATTTTTCAAAATTTGGCCCAATTTTTTTCGCGGACATATTTGTGTCCCTTTCCCTCTGTTTTTTGGAGCATTCTTTGGGTTTTGTTAAACATAGCCTTCTGGTGGTTCCAGGAGAGGGGGGGAATGGGGCACAGGACGGGCTAGGAAAAATGTTGTAGGGCCTTTCAGGGCATTACTTGATCTTTTTGGGCCTTTTTTCAATTTCAGGCCAAATTTTCAAAGAATGGGCCATAAATCTTCAAAATTTAGGCCCAATTTTGGTTCTAGGGCCCTTAAAGGTTTTCCTCGCAGCCCTAGGATGAGCCCAGAAAAAAATGTTTGCCCAAAAATATTGTAGGGCCTCTTTAGTGGGCCTTTTTGGGTATTAATTGACCTTTTTGGGCTTTATTTTTTTCAATTTAAGGCCAAATTTTCAAAAAACGGGCTACATAATTTCAGAATTTTCGCCCAAATTTTGGTTTTAGGGCCCTAAAATTTTACGCGCGGCCTTAGCATAGGCCTAGAAAGAAATGCTGGGCCAAAAATATTGTAGGGCCTCTTTAGTTGGCCTTTGCATGACCTTTTTACTTGACCTTTTTGGGCCTTATTCTTTCAATTTTAGTCCTACTTTTCAAAAATAGGCCATGAATTTTCAAAATTTTGGTTCTAGGGCCCTAAAAGATTTTCCGTGCAGCCATAGGATGGGCACAGAAAAGAATTTGGCACAAAAATATTGTAGGGGCTCTTAAGTGGGCCTTTTTTAGGCATTACTTGACCTTTTTGGGCCTTATTTTTTCAATTTTAGGCCAAATTTTCAAAGAACGGGCTGTATATTTTCAGAATTTTTGCCCAAATTTTGGTTTTAGGGCCCTAAATTTTCTGCGCTGCCCTAGGATGGGCCCAGAAAAAAATGTTAGCCCAAAAATATTGTAGGGCCTGTTTAGTGGGCCTTTTTGGGCATTACTTGGCCTTTTTGGACCTTATTTGTTTATGTTAGGCCAAATTTTCAAAAAACGTGCTCATCTTCCAGGCAGTTTCCCGCCGTAATTAGTCGATTCTGGGCATTATTATGACGTCAAGATCATCATGCACGCACACATTATAACACCGGGGTTATCCCTGCAGTGTTTACATTTACCACTTAGAGCCGGCGTGAGGTTTTAGCCGCAGTATTAATCCATCTTTTTAGCAGGGTCAATAACAGCGGCGACAAGAAGATACGGACCCTGTTACACTTGGAACTATCATGGAACTATTTATCCGCCGTAAGAGCATTCTCCAGCAATAAAAGTGCTAATGTAGGGCTTATACATGTCAATAATCTGCAAAAGGATAATAAGCCCATATAAAGCAGATTGAGAAACAAATGTCCTAAATATAAAAAAAACTCAAAATAACCCCACATCTATGGGGGTAACATAAAGGTAGTGCCTATAAATCGTATCTTATAAAGAGTCATCTATGGGGTGGTGGACGAATTTTAGTGTAGTGACACCACATAGGTGTTGTTTTTACGACAACCGAGAATCAGTCTCTTGATTCATAACAAATTTTTAATAATTTAGCTTCCGAAATGTCATCTAAATCTCTTCAAGCGGAATTTCCAGTGCATTGGCTGGTATGGCACAATGATTATGAAGAACTAGATAAACTTTTGCAAGCCGGTGAGGTGAGAATTTCGCTTTTGTTCCTTGATGGCATTCAAATTCACAGTAATGATGATTTTTGATTTTTTATGATTTTTATTTTTTTACTTTTTCACAGCTAAATTACTTAGGGTCAAGATTGCAGTTAAAAATTCCATTGAGGACCATTGTAACGTTTCATTTCATAATATATTCATGGGCACTTTTACTAGCTTGCCGTTACAAAATAATGATACCGTGACCACACCGTTTTTGAGATAACTGAATCTGGAGGGAGCTACTACTGTAAAGCTACCTGTTTCAGAAAATAATTCTGCTCTACATAGTCTCAAAAATCACTCCGCCATCTCTAAGAATTCTGTTTGTAACCAAACTTGTAAATGTTTCCTGGTAGATTAGTACTTATCCTATCGAGAATAAACTTGATTCATTTATCAAACACTAGATGTTTTGATTAAAATAACACTTTTTATACAGGAAACCAAATAACCAACGGTAACCGCTAGTATCCCTACTCTGAACTATATTCTTAGCCTACGTTTAGGAAAATTATCATAAGATTTTCCCCATGGCCCCTAGTCATCCATTATACCTCCAGATGTGTTTAGCTATAAACCTGAACTGTCTGTATGGCTGGAAGAAGGTGGGTGGTCTGGGATTCCATGTTCTGATATCAAAGTCAAACCTAAGACTGATTTCACCACAATTCAAGGAGGATTGGAAGCCATTCAAACTCGAAACTCTGTTGTGTGATGTGGAACAATTTAGTAAAACTATTTCTGTAAGGTTCTCTTTGAACCAAGTATTTCATTGGAAGATGGACATTACAAATACATGTATTATGGTAATAGATCTATTCAAGCTTCTTTTGTACATGTACATGTATGTCTATGTAGTTCTTGTGTTCAAAATTTGAGTAATATTATTACCAAATTGATCTACGCCGGGCAATGTGGTGTCAAGTTTGAATAACGGCTTCCAATCCTCCTTGACCACAATTGTTGAGCCTCTCTGTTAGGTTGACTGTAATAACACCAGTTTGGTGGTCATCAATCAGTTCATACTCTCTTGGGTCATCATTACAGATCACCTAGCATGTTGAAGTGCCAATGTGCCATGTAACATTATTGTTGTAAGAATGGTCATAGCCAGGATTTACAGAAAAATGTTAGCTCAGACATTTTTTCCAATGCAAAACTGTGAAAATTGAATCTTATGATACTGTTCAGTTTGTCAGGAGGGCAGATGGGCGGGCAGGTGTCCCGATAAATTTTGTCTACAAGTTTCCAGCCACTCTAGAATTCTGTCAGTCAAGAATTGATTAGTTCAGGCCAAACTGTTTCAGGGACTCATCTGAAATTTTCAGGGATGTTTCTACCTACTACAGTTTACAACTGATTAGTTTTTGGGCATTCTGAGTAAAAGGAAGCCATTTTGGATTTTCTGTCCTAAAATCTTGTCTACAGTTTTCCAGCAAAAACATTTCATGGATTCATCTGAAATTTTCAGGGATTTTTCTACATATGAAAGTTTATAACTGATTAGTGTTTGGGCATTCTGTGTAAATGTGGCCTTTATGAATTTTCAATCCCAAAATCTTGTCTGTTGAGGCTTGTCAATAGGTTTCCACCCAAACCTTTTCATGGATTCATCTGAAATATTTAGCAGTGATCTCCCCAGCATTAAACCAAGTGGGCGCAGCACCCACCTGAGATATCAGAAACAGACTTGCACCCACCTGGTAATCCATTTGCACCCACTTGAAAATGAGAAAAATCATCAAAAAATGAGATATATTGACCAATTTTTGTTTAAATTGGGAAGATGAGAAAAATTCCCGTGGAGAACACTGTTTAGGGATGTCTCTTGGTAGGAAAGTCTACACTGATTAGTTTTGGGCATTCTGGGTAAATATTTGGGCGGCCATTTTGGACTTACCATCCCGAAAACTGTCTATTGAGTATTCTATTCAATTGTGCAATACTGTTCACGCTGTGTCTTGTTTTACCCTGTGATCATTTATGCTTAAGTAATATTAACTATCCAAATGGAAATTGAATTGATTTAGATAAACAAAGAAAAGCTGGATCCCAGGGGTCGAACTGCTCTACACTTGGCAGTAACACTTGGCAACCTTGAGAGTGCACGTGTACTAATGCGACATGGCTGTGATGCAAACAGAGAAAACACCAAGAACTGGACAGGTTTGTGAACAGATTATGAATTAAAGGCCCCATGCAAAGTTTGAAAATATAGTCTTATCATTCAAATGTTACCTTTCATGACTTTGAAACTGTTAAAGACATTTTTTGAAATTATGGCTTCCTTTGACATGTCAAAGTTTGATAACATGGAGCAAGACTATAATATGTGCCAAAGTGGTTTAAACTATACATGGGGTCTTTAAAGCTTCTGTAGAATAATTTCAATTGGGGGACTGTTGACTCAAAAATTCAGTTTATCTCCCTCAAAATAACCCCATGTTGTGTCATTTAAGAAGTAAAACATAAACTGCCAAATGGAACATGTCTCTTAGTTGACCACCTCCATAAGTTGAACATTTTTAGAGTCCCATGACTGCATTGGCTCAATTGTCAATGAACCTCTTGAAGTGGAACACCCGCCAAGTGGAACTAATTTGAGAGGTGTTCCACTTTGACATGTTTTGCTGTATTTTCAATAAATGGTAGCAGAGTGCCATCTAAGAAACAGACATTATTTAAAGTAAAACCTTTCTCTTTGCAACACTACTGGGACTAGCCAAAAGTGATTAAATTTGCAGGTGTTCTCATTTCGCATGGTTGTTCTTTAACACGGTAGTCTATCAGGGGCGGATCTGGGAACCAACAAAGGGGGGGGGGCAAATTTCAGTTCAGAGAAAAAACTTTAACTTCAAAAAAATTTTGGGCCCCTAAAACCAAAAAGTGGGCCCTAATTTTGAAATTTTGAGGCCCATTTTCTTCAAAATTTGGCATGAAATTAAAAAAATAAGGCTTTAAAAGGCCCAGTTATGGTAAAAAAGGCCCTCTTTTTGGGGCCTTATGGCCTTTTTGGGCCCAATTTTTTTTTGTGGCCCCCCTATGATAGATTAAAACATTGGACTGCATTCATATTGAGAGGTGTTCAGATGAGAGCTTGGTGTTCAGATATACAGATTTTACTGTCATTGAATATCCAATATATTCTCTGTTTTTTTCACATTCAGCCCTTCAAGAAGCTATAGCCACTGGTGATCCAGAGCTCGTCCAGCTGGTTCTACAATACAGGGACTACCAGAGGTATACACGGAGGGCAGAGGGGGTACCTGGGCTCCTACAAAAACTGCGAGAGGCCTCTGATTTCTATGTTGAAATGAAATGGGAATTCACAAGCTGGGGTAAGTAATTAGCATGATTCAAGTAAGATACATTTTTGATTTGTGTAGAGAAAATCTGATGTTCAATTGGTTAATTTGAGACATAGGATCAAGTCCTCTGCTAAGGGCTGTGATGTGAAATGTCACTCCACCATTGGTGAGAATTGAACCTACAACCTCCCGATCATATGTCGAGTGCTTACATATTCCCCTGTATACTTCAAACACATGTAAGATGACATCTCATAAAGTTATGTTTTATATGTTATTATATATACCTACATGTAACATAATATAAGTGTTTTCTTTTATATGTAGTCTAGATGTCATTTTAATAATTTCTGTTAAACCGCAACATATACCCACTAGGGTGTCTAGCGGCTTGTTTTTATAGTGTATATTATATAAGAATTATGAAATAAATAAAAAGTTGAATTGAAATTGAATAGTGCCGTTGATTAGGTGAAGTGCCAAACACACAAGATATGTCACCTCATTGAGTCATGTTAAATGTGTCATTGCAGTGCCATTGGTGTCAAGGATGTGTCCCAGTGACACATACAAGGTATGGAAAAGTGGTGCAAATGTACGTATAGACACAACCCTATTGGGCTTTGACAATATGAACTGGCAGAGAGGGAGCAGGAGTTTCATATTCAGAGGCCAAGGTGAGTCTTTTTAGCTCACATGGTGAGCAATCACTCACTTGTCCATCTGTCCGTCAAGGTAATTGTGAGCCTTTTGGTAAAACCTGGATTAATGGAACACCTTGGGCTCATAGCCATTTTTGCAACGGAGGGGTCAGTTTTTAAACAATTCCAGTGGGGTTCTTTGACAATTTTTGGCCTAAAATCACTCGAAAAGTACTGAAAGTGGTGAAATACTGCATGATGTGCTGGAACCCCCTCCGGGAACTTCCCCTTTGCTAATTACTTGCATCATTCTGTGGTGTTCCATTTGGAAGGTGTTGCACTAATAGAGGTTCATTTTATTTTATATTGTGGTAACAGGTAATGGGACTTTGTCTTTGAAGTCCACTCATGGAGCAGTTCCTCCTATACAGAGATGTTTCACTCAATAGGTTTCACTGTATATTTCTTACAATTGATATTTCAAAATAATTAATCAAAATCTTATTCTTATAAAGCTTATATTGAATTAAACATGAGCTTGCAAATATATTGCAAAGAACATCTTCAGGGGAATCCCCAGGATTTTACTAGGGGTTGCTACTATCAGTTAGTTAGTTAGTCTCTATCATCAGTTCCTTTTTCCTCTGAATCTCCTATACTTCAGCACCATGAACAAAATCTTCAGGGAACAGAAAATAAAGAAAAATTTTTCAAAAAATAGAGGTGACTATGGTTGCACTCAATGTACCCCACCAATGTACACCCAATGTTAAAAATAATATTCGTTCAACAAGATTTGATGACCAACCATGGTTCAATAGTTCCATTAAAAATGAGATTTATAAAAGAAATAGGCTTCATCACAAATTCAAATCCACTGACAATGCAACATATAAAGAAAAGTATGTAACCCAAAGTCGCAAAGTCAAAGAATTAATAGAAACAGCTAAAAGTGACTACTTATCTAATGTTACTTTCAAAATTGAAAATTGTGATAAAAATTCAATTAATTATTGGACACTCATCAAAGAATTGTTAGGTAAAAACAGTATTTCTTCCATTCCAGTTTTATACCTGCCTAATAATGACGTTCCTGCATGCTCCAGTTTGGACAAATCTAATATGCTCATGAAATACTTTGTACAGAAAAATCTGATTGAAAATAATGCAAATCTTACACCTATTTTTCCAAGCAGAACCAATCAAATACTCCAAAACTTCAGAACTTCACAACAAGAGGTCTTTGAACTACTTAACGAGTTAGATGTACATAAATCTCCTGGTCCTGATGAAATCTCAAACAAGATGTTAAAAATGTGTGCCAGCTCTTTTTCATTACCAGTAAGCAATCTATTTAATAGAATACTTGACGAGAATATTTTTCCAGATATTTGGAAGGAGGGAATAGTTATTCCAATTTACAAAAAAGGTGACTCAACCATTGCCTCCAATTATATACCTGTAACTCTCCTAAGTACTTTGTCTAAAGTTTTCGAACGCATTATTCATAGACATTTGCTTTCTCATCTTCTCGAGCACAATCTCTTGTATAAACTCCAAAGTGGGTTCTTACCTAAACATGGAACAACAAATCAACTAATAAATATTGTACATGATCTTCATCAACATATTGATAATAAAGAGCATATACGCTCAATCTTTTTGGACCTGAGTTCAGCTTTTGACGTTGTCCCGCACAACTTATTGATAACTAAATTAAAAGGCTATGGTTGTAACAACAATTTTATTAATCTCATTAAATCATACTTATGTGATAGGCGTATCAGAGTTAAGGTCAATAATAACTTATCAGAATGGTCCTCTGTTCAACATACAGATGCTCAAGAATCAGATACACAAATACATAATAACAACCCTCAGATCAAGAATTATAAAATTAACGCAGGAGTTCCTCAGGGTTCAGTATTGGGACCCCTCCTATTTTTGATATATATCAACGACTTACCGGATGGTCTTGTTTCAAAGACTTTCATATTCGCAGATGACACCTCACTCCATAATCCTTTTGATGTAAATGAAATATTTCTCGATATTCATGAACCCATTCAAAGTGATTTGGACCACTTAGACCAATGGGCCGCAACTTGGAAAATGTTATTCAAAGCACAGAAAAGCGCTGATTTGATATTCACTGGACATAGAAACATTAATATTGAACCTCCTCCTCTGAAAATGAACGGGGAAATAGTCCCTAGATGTAATACTCATAAACACCTCGGACTTACTCTTGACCAGCACCTAAACTTCAACGCTCACATTGACCACTTAATTAACAAAGTAACAAGCCTGATGAGGCCCATGAAGAAACTCTGCAAGATCTTGTCAAGCAAGCACCTTGAAACTTTATATAATGCGTACATACTACCTCATTTTGATTATTGTGACATCATATACAATAGTGCATCAGATACCAAATTGCAATCTCTTGAACGGTTACATTATAGAGCAGCATGTCTAGTCTCTGGAGCAATCCATGGCTCAAACACTAATAAAGTTCTCTCGTCAATAAACTGGAAAACTTTATCCTCTAGAAGAGAGGAACATCTCAAAATATTTATTTTTAAAGCAAGATATAATAACTTTCCCCCTTTCATTTGTAATCTTGTCAGGTCCTATGAGAATGATATACAAGTGCGCTCACTAAGGAGCCACAGGGACTATAAGATTCCCCTTCAAACAAGCGCTTTGGCTAAGAAATCTACAATTTTTAAAGGTATGGCCCTTTGGAATAACCTTCCACCAGATTATAGAATTGGCCAGCCAATTTCAAGATTTAAAAGAATAGTAAGAGGCGATGGAAGCCATGCTTCTACCCTATCAACGTCAAAACTAAAAAATGCCATGCCTCGCTACCTAGAAATTCCTTTAAACCGACTCAGGTCTGGACTTCTCTTGCAAGCTCACCTCCATGCACACAACTTTGAACGGGTTGCTAATCCTAAATGTTTATGTGACAATACAAACCAGACAACTTTACATTTCCTGTTGAAATGCCCACTGCTGACAGAACAGAGAACAACACTACTTGCAGGATTGGAGACGATAGGGATCCGTACCCACTATGATGGACTTAATATGCATGATCAATCCCAGTTCTTACTTTTTGGAGATAATAAATTTTCAATAGATGTCAATGAGAAACTAATGAACATAGTAGATAATTATATCCACCAGGGTCTAGATCTTTTGGACATGTAATCGATTACAACATGTTACAACTGAAATCCCTCTGGCCAAGGGACAAAATCTTACACATCTTTGTGATATACGAGTGTAGTGTGATGATATTTTATTGACTTTTTTTCATCTATTTTAACAATAACATGACATAAAAATAACTTATTATGTAAAAATTTAATAACATTCCTTTGGATTTCACTCAAAATTGCCGTTAATGTCATTAGACTTTGGCAATTGTTTAAGTTTGTATATCTGTATTTTATGGAATATAATAAAGATGATTAATAAAAAAAAAAAAAAAATGTACACCCACAATCTTGGTGTTAATTTGATGTGTATTTATTTTAGTGAATTCTGCAGTTGCTATGGAAGTCGACCATGATGCAAGTGTCGTATACACAGAGACCATGCAAGTCCTCCCTGGACCAGTTGACCCCAATTTACTGAGGCCCCATGAAGACGCTGTTGCTGCACGTCTAACAACACCACTCGTTACCACATATGTAGATACAGATAAAATATCTTTTGAAAGGTAACAGTATTTTCATGAAGAAAATGAAAGCATGATTGAAACAGATGTAGAAGAGGAAAAAGACTGCAATCAACATTCACGATCAAAACTCTTTTTTTAGTCCCTTTGTTTTTTTTATAAAACCAATGCTTTGTATTTGACTTCACTAAAATAGTGAATTATTAATTCAGGTCAACTCTAAATATATTTTGACTTAAAATATAAAAATGAAACAAAAACAGTGCATTTCTGTTACACTAATATCGTTACTGTAAAGAATTATGGTCTATTCTCTATATTTTATGTTATATAAAAATAACAAAAATTGTTCACATTATTTCAGGAATAAAACTGGAATATGGGGTTGGAGAAGTGAAAAGTCAGAAACTGTAAATGGCTACAACTGTAAGGTAAGCAATTCATTTATATATGCCTCTCATAGAGAAATAAACACAAAGTGCCTCTCGATACCAATCTCCAATCACAGGGCTTCAAAATCCAGAATATATTCTTTCTTTTTACCCCCTGCGATAAGCAGTTAGCATTTCCCTTATTAAGAACTCGCAATCTGATTGGCTTTCGCAACACTGCGACAGAAATCATGTATAAGTCATTGCACATAATTAGACCAGTGATTCAGTTTAATCGGGCGCTTCCAAATTGGTTATTCAGGATACATGCTTAGGAGGATGCTCTATACTGGCTATTGAGATACAGAGATAGTTTCAGAGTCAGAGTTACATTTTGTACTTTTAAGTTGCAGAAAACTTGGGAGTTTGAAACAAGGGATTTCAGTGAAAGATGTCCTATGTAGTCAACCATGGAAGGATTTTAAATCTTCTGGTGTCAAATTAATTGAGAGAGTTCGCTTAAAGGACTTGAGTTTTCTTTAGGGTGAATTCCCAAATTATTAAAAGTACAAATACAATTTTTTGGTTGTAACATTTTTGTTGAGCCACTTTGTATTTGGCTGTAATATCTGGTTTATGCTTAATAATTGATGTGTAACCCAAACTGGTAAATTTTCTTTTTAGGTGTTTAATGCAACAAACGTGGAACTTGTCACAAAAACTAGAACAGAACACATGACAGAACAAGACAAAAAGAAAAATCCCGCCCAGGCTCGAAATCCGCTCGAATCATTTTTAGGCTTTGCTGAAAAAGAAGAAAAAGTCCAAGGAGCTAATAATGGAGTAAATATATTTATGAATAATTGACATTTAATTTTTTGTGAATGGACACTCGATTCATTCACCAGCTTTTTTCTTTAATTTTTCAAACGATCTTTTGGGGTTGTCGAATCGGCCGAGAGGGCTCGAGTGCCAGCAATTTCGAGCTAGGCGAATTTGTGCCGTAACCTTGAGGTTGTGATTTAGAGATGTGTGTGCTCCTTGTGTTTATTCATTATTTTGCTCACACATGGTTGCCATGAAACGTTATTATGGTTTTCTCCCGACCTGGAAAAGTGATGGATCTTCAGAGTTCTCTCAAAAATGGCTAAATTCTCTCAAAAATGGCTAAATTCTCTCAAAAATGGCTAAAATGATCAGGAGCATTTAGGATTCTGAGAAAGGACAGGAAAAGTTGAGGAGAGACATGTATCTTTTTTTTGTTGATGGGAAGAAATGAAATTTATCAGTGAATTTCATGCATGAATGAGGAAAAAATCATACCTGGAATTGCAATTTTTCAAAATGGTGTGACTCCTCCGTATTATTCCGTAAATCAAAGATGTACTGTATATGCATAAAATAATATCCCATACTAATGGGATACTAATACTAATTACTAATACTAATTTTACATTCCAGGAAATCCTAGAGCACGAAAGACTCTACAATCCTAGTCACATAACACCAGAGGAATATTTCAATGATAGAATAGAGCTTGGAGATCGTGATATTGGGCGCCCCATAGAACAATCTACCAAAATACAAAAATTCAAGGCAAACCTCTCTCTTTGTGAAGACTACCCGTTGTCACTACAGGAGCAGGTGATTCCGATCATAGATCTGATGGCTACTAGTAACGCACACTTCGCTAAACTACGAGATTTTATTACTCTTACATTACCAGCAGGCTTTCCAGTTAAGATAGGTAAGATACCAATGTTATTAGTTTAAATATATTCAGCCTTAACTGAATGGTACATATAGCAATGTGTGTATGGTATGTACGGTACACAGGCATTGATTATACAAACATACATGTACATGAACGATAAATATAGCTAGATGTAGGACATTTTCATTTGAATCAGTAGAGTTTGCTATTTTATTCCACGAACACCAATTGCAACCCCTATAATTTATCCAAGAAAAATTCATGTTATCCATTGATGTGATGCTTTTCAGAAATTCCACTTTTCCATGTTCTCAATGCAAAGATTACCTTTGGAAATATATTCGCTCGGGATTCACCAATTGAAGGAGTCACCATTGTTGAAGATGGTGATATTTCTACCTGTATCGTTGAAGATAACATTTTTGAAGCACCAGCATCTTTCTCAAGGATAGGTAAATAGTTAAAATTATAATTGAAGGACTTATTCCCGGGCTCTAAAATCAGTTGAAACCAGAGAATTTTTCATTTTTGCCACCTTTTGACATTTTACTATATACCTATACAACTTTAGATGCTCAACTTCGTAAAATTAGATGGCAGTGATCATTTCGACATGTTTTAAAACAATTTTTGTGTAAATTGGATGAAAATTGTTCAAATAAGATCAATTTTAGTGAACAATTTTGTAACGGATTTTCTCGTCACTCTGGGTTTCAAGATCATTTCTGAGGTGACAAGAAATCCCGTCACTCCAGGTAGTCAAGAGGTTAAAGGACTTATTCCTGAGCTCAATGAATTGTGGATGATTTTATGCATGAATGTTTTGTATCAGACTTTGAATGAGGGTTGTAGCCTGATTCAAAAGGATTCAAGACATGAGTGTATTAAAGCACCCACTATACATTGAGTCAATAACCCACATGCGAGTAGAAATAATCTTGATTTACGTCATTAAAAATTAAAAATTCAGTCAAAGTAATATCATATTTGAAATCTACATGTAAAATTACATCTAGAAATGTGGTTTTAAAAAGTGTTTATCAACTTTGAAAAATTAATTTTCTTTGAAAATGTGACTTCTAGCTCGGGGAGATTCCCCATAGACCCCATGCTATAAAATCACAAAAAATGATATATCTTTTCTTTGAGTGGACAGATAATATTTTGCTTTACTGGACATATTTTCATTAGTATAAGTATCAGACACATAAGGGTTATATGGAAATTGAGCCACTTAAATTAATAATATTCAAGTTTAAGGGAACTTTCTTATATACCTGCCATGTTAATTGACCCGAATCAGCCACCTGGTGGTGAAACTGGTAACTACCTACTCGCATTTGGGTAATTGTCGAAATCGCTGTTCCCTCTTCAAAAGAGGAGACGCGAAAATCTTTCCTTATAAGGTCAAAATATTTCCCATGATGCAGTTCGCGGAGGAACAAATTTATACTTCCTTGTTTTCCCTTAAAGGTTTAACATGGGGATTTTCACACCTATTTTTCAAACGATATATTCGTTCATATCCCCGTACGAGGGTACAGAAAAAATTATTATAAACGATTGATCTCTTATTAATCTTTATATAACAGCTATTTTTTTCATTGTATTGATTCATAGCGTGGTGAAAACGATAATTGAAAAGTGAGAAAATATTCCGGAAGAGAAGGTCACATGATCAGTTGACTAGTCGCCATATTGGAAAAAACAATTCCATTCGACTTTCAATACTTTCATACCAATCTTACCGCACTACAAACTGCAACATCGATGCAACAGCTGAATAAAAGTATTCATCTTCAAATTACATCATAGAGTTACGTTGAAAACCAACACATAACTGAGCAGTAGACCAAAGAAGAAGCGTCGCTATTATCTAGGTCACTCTGTTCAGTGGTCCGAAAGCAAAGCTATAGTACTCGTTTCCGAATTTTGTTGTTAATTGTACAATCTTTTATTGATTAAACTCCGTATACTGACTATTAAAGCAATGACAAAGAAGAATACTTCCGATGTTGTCATTGTTTTATTTAGCGTGCGAGTGTAAAAACAAAATTGCGTAATTAGTTTGATTTTGAACTTTCGGGTCACGCAAATAGCTACGCGAAATGCATAGTGAGAAAATATTGACCAATCAAATTTTGTCCTTTTTGAGTGCCTTTTCAGTACATATTTGCGAACGTTCTGATTCAAAGAGCGAATCGCGAAATGTAGAATTGCCCTAATTTTTTCACACATTGCAAAAAGATTTGTACAGCATCACTAAATTGGAAGGGATTTCTAGTACTAGTATTTTCTACATAATTTGAAGGCATTTCTGTTATTTCTATAAGGTAATTTTAAGTTATTTCCATGCATGTGAATGCATTTCAACACAATTGTAAGGCAATTCAATATACAATTTGAAGACATGTCTTAACATTTTGGAGGAATTTCTATATACAGTAAAACCTGTCCGATGGAATACCTCTCTGTAGGGAAAACCTATGAACAAGGAATGCTTTTCAAAAGAACCGAATATTTTTCCATTCACTTACATGTTAATGGACCCTCTCTGTAGGGAAAACCTGTGAACAGGGAACAAGGAACACTATTTTGGGGCAAATTATGAAAATTCACCTGTGAACAAGGAATATGGAATATTGGTGACACTGTATATTCCATTATTTTTCAGAGGTGTGAAAGTCTTAAGCCAATATCTGAATATAAAAAGCTTGGATTAATATGATTGAGATTAAGATAAGCCAATTGTCGACATGATGTAGCATCCCACCCACTGTTAATTACCCTGATTTATTTAAAACTAATACTAATCTGTTTGTTACTTATTATCATGACACCAATTCTTCCTTTCAAAAACCTAATTACATCAAATCAGTTGTGATAATCTAGGGACTGACACAATTGTTTTATGGAGATAACAGATAGTAAGTACATGGTCATGTTGAGCCAAATCTCTTTAAATCTTTTACTGGTCCAACTTCTAGATTATCAATGATATAAAATGGGGTTGATGAAACTTGAAACTCAGTTCTTAGCAATGCATCTCTACACATCATTTCAATAATTACGTCAACTAGACATCATTAGACGCTAGCAGCAGCTAAAATCAACATGGGGAGAACGTAACCAAGTATCGAGTCGGCATTTGTACAATCAATCAATATATATACAAATATGCTTATGCGGCAAGTTTGCTGAAAGTGCGGCCCCTCTCTATAGGGAAAACCTCTGAACAAGGAAACTTTTCTCCAGTCCCAAGAGCATTCCCTGTTCGCAGGTTTTACTGTAATTTTTATTCAATATGAAGGCATTTCCACAAAGATTTGTTGCATTTCTATACAATTTGGAGTATCAGCTACATGCCTGTTTCACACTTTTCCTTGCCAGTTCCACAAAGTACCTCTGTAATTTGTATTTGAAAACATAAATGTTTGGTGCTGTGATTTTAGGTGAATCTGAAGCCAGTGTAACTCACAGACATGAGAGAGTGAGAGATGAAGATGATGAGCTTCTACAGTTTGCAATACAACAGAGTCTACTTGAGGCAGGGACTGAAGATGATAAGGTACAATTCTACAACCTTACCTCAATCGAGTTCTTAGCTGGAAATATTATTTCGACGTCAATTCAGTATTCTTCACCTTACTCTGAATATTAAGAAAACTGGACCAGAATCTATTTTTCTGATGTTCAGTTGTATGAGAAAGATAAAATTGTATGTTGTGAATTCAAAATTGAAATTGTTGTCTGTTTAAGTTTCTAATGGAATTATTATTACTTATCGGTTGACCGCATTTGGCTGAAGTTGAATTTATCATTATCTCTTGCAACTTGATTTATTGTTGCTTTAGCTGTTGTGTTAAATATGCCATGTTGTAATCAACATATATGATGTTGTAATCAACATATGTGATGTTGTAATCATTATAAGGCCATGTTGTAATCACCATATACCATGTTTAAAAAGAGAAAATCTACATAAGTTGTTCCAATTGTTTTGCTTTCATATCACCCTATGCAGACAGAGCCTGTGGGAAATATTGGGTGCGGCGCAAATGAGCGGAGGGTGCTGAGCTAACGGTCATTTTTGAATTTAAAATTGGGATATTTCTGAAACTAAGCCGTTTTGGGACTTCAAATATACCAAGATATGTGTATTTGACACCAAATATCAATAAAATTGTGAAAATAGTAGTGCAATTCATTTTATAGCGACGCAGTATGCCTTAAACATTTCCCAGACCTATATATTTTGAGACTATCCTTTTAATACTGCGTCCCCAGTATTCATAAAAAATGGTGTTCAAGATACACTACCCATGCAAATTATTTTTGCATCTTGGAAGCCAGGCAGTATCTGTGTGATTTTATAAAAATTCGGAAATGTTCTTCAGATATGAGCCCCCTCTAAATATTGGGTGCGGAGCTACGTTTATGGAGCCCTCCGCACCCAATATTTAGAGGGGGCTCATATCTGAAAAACATTTCCGAATTTTTATAAAATCACACAGATACTGCCTGGCTTCCAAGATGCAAAAATAATTTGTATAGATAGTGTACCTTGAACACCATTTTTTATGAATGCTGAGGACTCAGTATTAAAAGGATAATTTCAAAATATATAGGTCTGGGAAAGGTTTAAGGCACACTGCGTCGCAATAGAATGAATTGCGCTACTATTTTCACAATTGTATTGATATTTGGTGTCAAATACACATATCTTGGTATATTTGAAGTCCCAAAACGGCTTAGTTTCAGAAATATCCCAAATTTAAATTCAAAAATGACCGTTAGCTCCGCACCCTCCGCTCATTTGCTCCGCACCCAATATTTCCCACAGGCTCTGTCTGCATAGGGTGCATATGTTGCCATGACAATGGTCTTGCATAAGAGGGTCACATGACCTGTTTTGCTTTCATATGTTGTTTTATATGATACCATGACAGTAGTCTTGCTTTAGTGAGTCAGGAAACGTCGATGCAAAACTGCTGATTTGTGTATTTTATTAATCATTATATTGTTTCTATTTGTTGTAGAGTGTAAGTATTCAAATTTTAGTTTGCAATTATCTCTCTCTCTCTCTCTCTCTCTCTCTCTATCTCTGGTGGTGGCTTGTTTTTCTGGACATGAACAACAGAGGGACACTGCTAATACCCTGCCATATAGTGCAAGTCATTGTCATTTTGATTGTGCTTCAATCAAACCTAAATTATAAACAATCAAAGGACCCCAAAACAATATTAAAGATTTGGATTGGAAAAATACATTCATTTTAGATGCAAAATGTTTGTATATTTCAGATAAATTCGTTATATGCAGTAAAGCTTTGGCCTCTTGTAATTCAGAGATTTTCAACCATGTTATTTTTGGAAATTTACATGTCAGTGAAGCATCAAAATAAAAGAGGCCATCAAAAATATAAAAAGCTTTTGTATCTAAAATGTTATTGTATTTCTCCATGTAATATTGCAATGTGGTCCTTTTCAATGGCTTAATTTTTTAGTTTGATTCACACACAATGCAATTGACTCGCACTGTAATTTAAGCAAATAAAATCTTTTAAGAACATACAGTCCCTGTAAAATGTCTCTGTCGAACTAGTATTCGCTGTATAAGTTATAACACACTCAACCAATAGCCTGTATCGCTTTATTTTCAGTCAGGTGTTTACTATTAATAACTATATTGAGGTGGTAGCTTTCAAATATGGGTGCTTCCTATTCTCTAATTTCTTTTTTATGGCAGAATCAGATACTAGAATAGTATACAACTGTATATAGCATTCAGGCCCGTAGCCAGGATTTGCCAAGGGGGGTTCAGTTATCCAAAATTCTTGAGAAGTGCTCAAAATGGTGAAAAAATGCATGATTTTGAAAGAATTTTTGGCCAGGGGGGGTTCGCCCAAACCCTGCGAACCCCCCCCCCCCCCTGGTTACGGGCTTGGCATTTATAGAGGTGGCATAGTAATCAAAATGTTCAATGACCTAGTACCATCACAAATTATATTACTGTAGAGGTTTCATACTCAACCTATCCACATTCTAAAGAGAAAATGAACACATAAGTGTAAATATCTTAAGTTTTCCTGGAATTAAATAACTATGAATTTTAGGAAAGGAAGGGAATGATTTTACCTCAAAATACTATAAAATTGAAACATTTCTTTGGAAAGGTTACTTGCTAGATCCTATTCTGCCTTTAAGCTGTAAAATTCCATTATTCTTATGTAACTTAGGGTTAGTAGTTGTAGGTCATGAAACTTGTGCTTTTGTGTTTCTATGTAGAATAGATGTACAAGTATAAACATAAATATGCTTTCACACCAGGTACATAATGATATGTACTTTTATTCATAGTTCATATGTACAAAGTGTTCACATAGGCATTTATGGCTGAACATTTTTATGTTATGCTCTAACCCTTCTATCACACTAAACTAGTTCTTACCCGTTCTTGCCAGTCCTACGGAAACGTAGTAAAACGGGCTCAATCTGGCTGTGGTCGGGAAATATGTCTGAAATAATTAGCTTCTTCGTTCTTAAACAGTCTTCAATACGTCCATCTCGTTCGCAGTTCGTTCAGGTCGCACCACGTCGGTGTGCAACGTCGTAGAACGCATCCCTTAGTCTAGAAGGTCAACATGACCTGATTACAGAATGGTATGGTCGCCATCGAATTTTGAATCGATTCAAAATTCTAAAATCACATTCCCGTCTGAGAACGTTCATAAAGTTCGTAAATAGACCTTAGAAAGTTGCAACTACGTTCATTCCGTTCGCACACAGTTTCAAACCAGTTTTGAAGAACGCAGTGGCAACTTGTTTGGTGTGATAGCTATATTTTTGCTAACTCGTTCATAAGCAGTGTTAAATACGTTCTTAATCAGTTTAAACCCGTTTGCAATTAGTTCTACCTCGTTCTCAACACGTCCTTAGACAGTTCAACTCGTTGTTGAAACGTCCTAGTAGGATTGAAGTACGACTGTTCCGTTCGTAGTACGTCCAGCTCGTCGTTAGTACGTTGTCACTCGTTCTAATTGTAGAACGTGACGACCACGAAAACATTTTGAGCATTGTCTAAGTTCTAGAGGACCTACCCGTTCGAGTACGTTCGATGAAGGTAGTAAATAGATCACAAACGGTTCTTAGTAGGTCTAGTCCGTTCGTACACAGTTGTAGCCCGTTTTCGAGAACGCAGTGAGAACTAGTTTGGTATGATAGTAGGGTAACTAAAGTTATTCTACCGAAAATACAAGAATTGAGCTTTGATAATAGAATGTGTACGAGTCTTGGGAGCCTCTCAAGCGTGAAAACACCCTTACCTGGTGTTAAACATAAAATTACAGCTAAAATCTTGAATCGGTAAAAGATGGAGTCTAAACTGCCTGCAAACCTGAAGGTGTATGCCGAGGAACTTAGAAAAACTAAAAAATGAAAATAAAATAGAAAATATATGGGAATTTAATTAGTTAATTTCTATTGTCTTGTATCTCATTTTTATATTGATCCACCTTGTCCTATATCTAAAATTTTCATTTTGTTGCTAAAAGTCGTAAACTCAGATATTTAAGATTACAATGCTTTTACAAAAGTCTCAAAAAATGTGACATGTCTGATGTTGTTTAGGTAACTTTTTGGGAGGCGCTGAACAAGTCACGTCCTAATGGTGTCCCAGGTGGAGAGGGGCCACAGTCACTACCCAGAAGTCTACAAACAGAGGAGGAGAGACAGCTACAACGGTGAGGGACAGTATTGCTTTATAATATTAAAATTCCAACTGGTCAAATCAAAGGCATTGATGAGTTGATTGCATACTGTAATATATATATGGTTACATCTTGCATTTTTTGCTTTTCTTTCAAAAGAACATATGAGTATCTTATGTTTATCTTATAAAGACTGGGCCTTGATTTTAAAGTGCTTTAGATAAATTTTAATGGGAATTACTGGAGAATTAAATTCATATAATGCGGAGAACATTAAAGGCCGACTTTCACATAAAACACAATATGTAACATATAGTATCACTAGGAACCTTGGAACAACCCAGGATTGCTTTTTAGGGAGAGGTAGTACAGGTTTAGATATGCATATGCAGGTGTGGATAAAGAATCTCAAAGTTCATGTACATGTAAAACCTGTGTGTTCTACAAAATCTCATATCAACGTTTGCCTTTGTGATTTTAGAGCCATTGAAGCCAGCCTTGGGATGGATTCCCAGAATCCACCAGCCAACGGGCCCCTGTCTGACATCAAAGAGCCATCTATCTGTACACAGCCCCCTGCCATCTTGAGTGATGCAGCCCAATTAAGGCTTGCCATGGAGCTTTCACAGAGAGAGGATGCAGAAAGGGAGAGAAGACGAAAACAAGAGGAGGAAGAGCTAGCTCAGATTCTACAGCTCTCATTAACAGAAAAATAAACAGAGCTAGCTCAGATTTTAAAGTTTATATCGTATGCATGTGAATGATGGCATCACCTTATTCCTCCCAATTATATGGGATGTGAGAGATGCTGTCAAAGTAGAAATGGACAGATTGCTTTTCATAACATTCACAAGAAAAACTGACATTTCTTCTGATTATAATGCCATTGGCTAACAGCTTCAAAGAGACTTGTCCCAAGCTTCTCTGATTACATATTGGTTCAGCCAACTTGAGTATTACATTAAAAAGAACTTGTGTATGTGAGCATTTCACTAAAAGGCAAACCTCTCGATGTAAACTTATTTAGCTGGTCCCAGTGGCGCCAGGTTTATACAGTGTCAGTTTAGGTAGAGAAAAAGATGGGTTGTGGATTTCGCAAGACCCAACCCTTTCATATTATAACTTACATAGCTTCCAACATATAGAGTCCTTGGATAATGAATCTTGACAATTGCAGTCAGTCAGAAAGCATGCATAGTAGATTAGTAATGATACATTTTTCCTGCATGAGATTTTGTAATTGACCAGTATATTTGAGCCAGGCCACAGAAAAAAGGGTCTCATCACAGATTTTTTCAATTCAAATGAGACATGGCTTGTGTCTCAACAATTTTTCCTTGCAGATGTAGATCAAAAAGAAGGATTTGAATTACATTTTCCTCTTAATCTTGGGCACATTTTTGGCTCTGTAGCACAATTTAAATTTTTGTGATAAGACCAGTTTTCCTATGGCCAGGCTCATTTGATGATTCATCATAATGACAAAGTTCTTATAAAAGTTTTACTTCAGCAAATATCAGGAAATATAAACAATAAATAATAGCCAACTTTAAAAACAATAGACCTTTCCATTGTACCCTGACACCTTTTAATCCATCCAGTGGATATATTGGTCAGATCAGATTGATGATGTCATTGGTTGTAGGTAGCAATCTCTCAAAGCAAAAAAGGATTTACTTCTTGTTAATTTTGAAAAGGTACAACCAATGAAATCATCAATCTAGCCAATGTATCATAGGTTCTTTGATGTACCAAAAGGTTGAACGCTTTATTGGGAAGGTCTATTGTAATGCTTTCGTAGAATGTTTCAGTTAGTTTAATAGTTGTACATATCCTAAATATCTCATCGCAAATAGGCAAACATTTTTCCACATATCATCTCTTCTATGCAACACCTGATTTGCTTTCGATGATGTGCTACAATATGTTAATGCTGTGCTACAATATGCCAATGCTGTGCTAGGATATGTCAATGCTGTGCTACAATATGCCAATGCCGTGCTAGGATATGTCAATGCTGTGCTACAATATGCCAATGCTGTGCTAGGATATGTCAATGCTGTTCTACAATATGCCAATGCTGTGCTAGGATATGTCAATGCTGTTCTACAATACAAGGCATTATACCAGCAGCAGTTTGCCTAATGAAATGAGAATGTCATTCCAAGCTTGTCAATACTCATTCTTATCAAGAGTGTGATTCCACTGGGTTGGACTAAATTTTTCATGTCAGCCAAAATAGCTCAAGACTTCGCTCTGTATTTTCACTAAACATTATGGGGTTATTTCTGTAAGAAGGTCATCCCAGGCTTGTAAATAGTCAGTACTTTATTTTTTGTTTTCATGAAACATTATGGGGTTATTTCTATTGGTCAAGGCAAATACAAAGGTCCTCTAAGTTGGTAAATTGAAAGAGGATGTGTAGTTTGTGTACCCATTACATAACATAGATAGCTATAAAACAAGAATCTCAGATGTGTTTACGATTTATATACCAAACTTAGAAAAATAATGCAACATTTAAGCAAGTGCATCTAGTCACATTATTTGATGCAAAGGTTAGAATGGAATCCATGGAACACTTTTTAGACACTGAAAAAATGATACAAAACAAAATGCTGGGGATATGGCAGTAAAAAGGCATATCTGTGAAATTGTTACAAAATGAAATACACACACAAAGTAGATTTGTATTAGCTGGGAATTCACACATATGTTACAATATTCAACTTCACACTCTTCAAACTTCAAAGTGTTAATAAGGTAACATATGGAATCAACCCTATCAGTATTTCTTAGGCCCAAAGAAAAAAGTATACAATGTGTGCAAGGGTTGTTCCATAAGTGTTGAATTATTTGCTATAACTATATCAATACTTGATATTTTTCTAGGTACTTTTCAATGAACGACCTTTGGAGATACTTTGATTATTCTATTACAGTAAAACCTGTACCTGTAAAGTGAAGCACCTCCTTAAAAGGAAGTTTTAAGTCCTACATTGTATTACTCATTGACTTAATGTACAATGAAAGTGTAACATTCCTCAAGTGTAGCTTTATTTAAGGTATCAAGTGTCTCCCATTTACACAGATCCTACTGTATGTTGTACAATATTTAAAAATACATGGCTATTTGCTGTACAATGTTTAAACTTGGGTGACTGAAAGCCAAATGAAACTGAACAACCTACATTTTAACCACAAAACAATTCTTGAAAAGCTCCACATTTGTGAAACCGCATCATACTCTGAATGCTTACTGATATTGCAAGTACTCATTAGAAAACAATTATTATATTCTAGCAATGATATAATACATCTATTATCATTTATACAGTTCTAATTCAACCAGTGTCGCTTTGTTCTCAGTGATTTCTTTTCATGTAAAGTTGTCCTTAACTTTTTGCTTCAATTCAATTGTTTTGAAATAGTTACCAAGTATTTAACATGTCAATGTATTTTAAGTTGTGTATACTACATGTACATTGTACTATGTATGTATTAAAGTATGCCTCTGTATATGTTCTAGTTAAGTGTATGTATGTATAATATATATAGAATATTTTTTATATTTCTGCAGTGTTCGTAATGTTATTATGTAATATTTAAAGTGCAATAAAGTTCTGCAAATATAATTATATGTTTGTGTTTGTTTTACATAAGTTGAACCAAAAAAGGTAACCTATATAAATGTTAATAACCCAGTCATCCAGTCTGAAGAATTTTTTTTATAGTAAACCAATATCTTAATAACTTATAATTAACAAAAATAAACATTTGTTTATTATCATTTATTATTTCATATTTATATCATTTTCCTCCTTTAGAGAAATAACAATCGAAATGACAATCCCATAGATATAGTCATGATAATTGATGATTTGCGATCACCGAATGGATTCTGTCTTTTAGTGACGTCACAATTAGGTCACCCAGCTTTAGATGCTTGATTTTGAGAGATTATCTTCTATATTTCGTGCTTTATTGATTTATTTTTCACGAAAGCGTTCTATTTGACTAGATCAACATTCATGCTAAGCACATACCAAGTCTAAGGTTTTACTGACATGATTTAGATAGCGGTTTAGCGCCCCCCGATTTTGACAAAAACGGGAGGCGCTTATAGGCATCGATGTTTAGTATGAATTTCACCCAAACTTCGCATATATATAGACATACTCATGATCTAGTCAAATCGGCATACCTGGTAAATATCCGACCCATGGTTTTTATATGAGAAACGACAATATTTTTAGCTCAAAACTGCCACGTGTCCGCCATTTCGTGATTCCATCATGTCTAATATCATTTCTATATGACGTCATACCAATAAGACGAAATACGTGACAACAGTATCCATAAACAAAATTCCTGAATTCTGATCGCAAAAGGTCAATTGAATTCATAACATCTCTGGAATGATTTTGGCCTATACATGCAATCTTCTAACAATTATATAAACCACAGTCATTCCTGCCATTTAACATTATTTACAATTTACTTGTTGCCATAGCAACATTGTCAGTCTTATATTGGTGGTCACATGGCTTCTACATGCAGTTCTGAGTACCGAGATAGTGGGATCCACTGCATAAACTGTGTTGCCTTAGCAACTGTCCTATAATGGCGGCCACATGGCTTCTAGTTCTAAGTGCCAAGATTGTGGGATCCACTGCAAAAACCGTGTTGCCATAGTGACACTCTCAGTCCTATAATGGTGGCCACTCTGCTTCTAGTTCTATGTGCAGAGATTGTGGGATCAACTTCATAAACTGTGTTGCCAAAGTGACACTCTCAGTCCTATAACAGTATAATGATGGCCACATGGCTTCTAGTTCTAAGTGCCCACATTGTGGGATCCACTGCATAAACTGTGTTGCCATAGTGACACTCTCAGTCCTATAATGGTGGCCACACAGCTTCTAGTTCTAAGTGTGGAGATTGTGGGATCAACTGCATAAACTGTGTTGCCATAGTGACACTCAGTCATATAATGGTGGCCACATGGCTTCTAATTCTAAATGCTGAGATAGTGGGATCTACTGCAAAAACCATGTTGCCATAGTGACACTGTCAGTCCTATATCGGTGGCCTCATGGCTTCTAGTTATAAGTGCAGAGATTGTGGGATCCAGTGCATAAACTATGTTGCCATAGCAACTGTCAGTCCTATATTGGCGGCCACATGGCTTCTAATTCTGAGTACCGAGATAGTGGGATCCACTGCATAAACTGTGTTGCCATAGCAACTGTCCTTCCTATAATGGCGGCCACATGGCTTTTAGTTCTAAATGCCGAGATTGTGGGATCCACTGCATGAAGGCAGATAATAAATCTAATATATAAAAAATCAGATTCTGAAGAGAACTAGCTTTTGTTCCAGTACATATTGTATTTGATAACAGCCACTACACGTCTAGGGTCAAGTTTACATCCCTGTTATATATGAGTAATCTACCCTACTTATTTTAATTTAAAGAATGTCACATTTCAGGGAGGGGGTGTCTAAATTAAGGGAGAAGTGTGGCATTGTCCTTGATGTCCACCATTCCTAAATGAGTCAATCTTTTATTTGATTTTGGCTCTTTATAGTACAGTACCTGTCTTCCAATATATGCATATTCCTTTATTCACAATCAAGTATGAACATGATCATAAGCTACAAAACCAGGTGACTTACATGTAGGTTGACTTTCCCAGATCTTTAACAGTTTAGTTTTACAGTCAACTTGTTCTGTTAATAATTCCTTCAGTAGGCTCTCTGTACGTGGCTGCAATCTGAAAGAAACAATTCAAATGTTTTTTCTATGAATAAAAAAATCAAATGTTTGCAGTAAAACCACTAAATCCATCTGAACAACTGTCAATTTAAACACTTTTTTCAATCCCTTATACTGTTACATAATTCCATGTTAAAAAATTCAAAATATGAACACCAGCCAATCAAATCACTCCAGCTCACTCCAAGTGGCATTTGAATTAGACGGGGTTTTTCTATGTGTTATGGGACATGTGTTAAATGAATATGACTAATACAAATTGCAAATCCAGATATACACATGAATTGCTTAAATAGTTATATTTTGTCAATGCATCTCGATGATATGTTTTATATAAATACTTACTTGGCCCATGACTTATTCATGGTGGCAGGCGCAGACAGCAGATCCTCTCTGAAGCACTTCAGTTTAGGACATACAAGTCTCTCTAGAAAGAACCTAGCGAAATACTTGACACGGTCTATAGTATACACT